AAGGCAAGCAGCCTTGGGGAAAATATTTGCAATACGTGTATCTGAAAAAGGACTTGAATGTATAATATATACATAAACATGCTCTTACAACTTCATAATGAGAAGATAACCCCATAAAGAGAAGGGCAGGCTGGGTGCAGTGGCTCACGCCTGTAATGCCAGCACTTTTGGAGGCTGAGGCGGGTGAATTGCTTGAGCCCAGGAATTTGAGACCAGCCTGGGCAACATGGTGAAACCCAGTCCCTACAAAATAAAAAAATACAAAAAATTAACTGCGCATGGTAGCATGCGCCTGTAGTCCTAGCTGTTTGGGAGGCTGAGGAGAAGGATAGCTTGAGCCTGGGAGTTTGAGGCTGCTGTAAAGCCATGAACACACCACTGCACTCCAGTCTGGGTGACACAGTGAGATCCTGTCAAAAAAAAAAAAAAAAAAAAGAGAAAAAGAGCAAAAAATATAAAAATAAATTTTACAAAAGAAGATATAGAGATGGCCAGTAGGCATATGAAAAGATGTTTAAAATCAGTCATCAGGGAAATGAAAATTTAAACATAATGAGATATCTTATATTTACTGGAACGGCTAAGAAAGGGCTTACAGAAATTGGCAAAGATATAGATTAACTGGAACTCTTATGCATGTTAGTAAAAGCACAAAATGATACAATTTCTGGGGAGAAATATTTGACAGTTTTCAGTAGTATTTTTGATAGCCTTCTGAATTTCTTAGTGAGTTATAGGTCAGTTCTGCCACTGTTTCTTTCTTCCTTTTTTTTCTTTTTTTGAGAAGGAGTCTTGTTTTGTTACCCAGGCTGGTGTGCAGTGGTATGATCTCGGCTCACTGCAACCTCCACCTCCCGGGTTCAAGCAATTCTCCCTACCTCAACTTCCCCAGTAGCTGGGATTACAGGCGCATTCCACCATACTTGACTAATTTTTGTAATTTTGGTAGAGGCAGAGTTTCACTATGTTAGCCAGGCTAGTCTCAAATGCCTGACCTCAAGTGATCTGCCCGCCTTGGCCTTCCAGAGTGCTGGGGTTACAGGCGTGAGCCACTATGCCTGGCCTGCCACTGTTTCTTTCTTTTCCCTCCAGCTTTATAGCTATTTAAAGAGAGCAGATTTTCTTGAGTACTAGGAATCACTATTTTTGAGCAGAATTATTCAAAGCTGTTATTATTTTTTCTTTAACTTAAGGCAGTATAGGAGAAAGCAGTACTGTGCAGGTAAAAGTTACAAACAGGAACATTTTAAACAAGATAGTTACTTTCCATGTATTGGATATGTAACAGAAGTAATTCTAATAACCATCCTGAAGTTGGTCAGGAGGCAGTGGTTAAGAATTGAAATGTTTGGAGCTTGCCTGTGTTGATGGGATTAAGGCAGGGATGATTTATGTGTAAATTTATGTGTTAGTAACAGCAGTAACAGCTGTAGTTACACTAGGATTCTAAGATCAAATGTTGATTAAACATGAATGCAGCAGGGGTGATATGGTTTGGCTCTGTGTCCCTACCCAAATCTCATGTCGAGTTGTGATCCTCAGTGTTGGAGGAGGGGCTTGGTAGGAGGTGATTGGATCATGGGGGTGGTTTGTAATGGTTTTAGCACTATCACCCTAGTGCTGTCTGGCAAAAGAGTTCTCCTGAGATCTGCTTGTTTATAAGTGTGTAGCACCTCCCCACTTTGCTCTCTCCCTTCCTCCTACTCCTGCCGCGGAGACATGCTTGCTTTCCCTTGGCCTTCCGCCATGATTGTAAGTTTCCTGAGGCCTCTGATTAAACATTTCTTCTTCTAAATTACCCAGTCTCAGGTAGTTCTTTATAGCAGTGTGAGAATGGACTAAGGGGAAATATATATGGTTACCAAATAGCGAATTAGCCATGGGAAAAAGTAGCAAATAAATAATTATTTTGCTTTTTCAGATGCTAATTTTTCTGTTTCGTTTATTTTAGGGTTGGTGGGAGCTGTCCAATGTCCTTAGGCTGTTTTCCAAATGAGATACCAAAAGCTAGTTCTCCATTGGGTTTCTCAGGCTGCTGGAAGCATTCATTATTATGGTTGTCATTACTTCGAGTTCTGTTGCCACTATGCCCACAGTAGTATTTGTTACATAACAGGTGCTTGATAAATATTTGCTAAATGAATTTTTGGAAAATAAATCTGCCACACCTTTCTTCTGCAGTCTACGATCTGTTGAGATCATCCAATAGATTTTTTTCCTCAGATATTGTACTTTTGAGGCCTCAAATTGCTGTCTTTTATATTTTCTATGTCTGCAGAGACTTTCCATCTTTCACTCATTGTAATCTTTTTTTTTTTTTTTTTTTACATCTTTGTGCATATTTATAGTAACTGTTTTAAAGTCATTGTCTGTTAATTCAAACGTCTGGTTCATCTTGGAGTCTTGATTTTATTGTCTGCTCTTTTTTCTTTGTAATAAGTCATGTTTTTCTGCTTTGCCTGTCTAGTAAATTTTAATTGTATATTGAAATGTAGAGAGTCTGGATTGTTACTTCCTTTAAGGGTGCTGAGTTTCATTTTGTCAGGCATTTAAATTGACAGTTGATTTAGTATTGTCAGGTTTGGTTCTCTTTGTTAAGGCAGGCCTATTTCAGATTTATCTTTTGTCCTGGGGCACGGTTTTTACTTCGAGATTGCCCTTTCCAATGTCTTAGCTAAGTATCTGGGGTGTTCCATGAGGTCTCTTCCACTCTGCATAGGCCAGAACTCCAACTTCTCCCAGTATTATATTTCGTTACCTCTGGTGTCATCTCCATTATGCTTTCAGATCTTGCACATAGACAGCCCAGGCCCCAGCCAAGGACCTGAGATGAAATCCATACAAAATTCTTAGTCCCTCGCTCACCAAACTCCAACAGCCTTAACAGTCTAATCTCTTCCTGTTTACCTCAGTGAATTCTGTGTTCTACTTGAGTTCCATTTCCTTCTTTATCAGGGAAGAGCCACCATGCTGAAAGCAAGGAGCACTGTGTTTCTTTGTTTTTAAGGATGGTAGCCTATTTGCAACAACTGTAGTGTGATATAAAAATATATAATTTATGTTGGTGACAGCTACGAATACTGCTTGCACTACTTTGTAACATAATTTTTCAGATTCAAGTTCATATACTGTTTTTCTCCACCTCACCACACACATATTTTCAGACTTCCTCCTCATCCTTCTTCTTGCCAGTAGTTGTATTATAACTCCTGCCAGTAGTTACATTATAATTTTGGTTATATCAATATTGAGCTTTTATGGGATTATAACTAGATAAATGCCATTCATAGTTAAGTGATATGATATATTGTGACTTTTTTCCTGCATGTTTTGTTTTTCCTGGACTTAACAGTTGTCTCCCTCTTTTTTTTTTTTTAATTAGTTTTAAATGTTCTTAACTTTAATTCATAGACTTACCCCTAATTGTATAAATCTCTCAACATGTTTAAGCACATTTGGCATTACATCAATTTTATCTTTCCCAGGTGCCTTCTGATCTGTCCCAGTCTGGGCTAATTGTTCTTCCTGGCTTGCTGTATGACTGTCTACTCAAGATGTCCCTTCACCATCATTCTAGGGATTTTCTTTTCCTCTCTTGCGGGTTAGATTCTTCAGTTCTTGGAAACTGTCATCTTCTTTCATGGTTTCCCACTCTTGTTTTGGCGGAGCACATCTTTAGTAACTTCCTGACTAGTGTATGGGAAGCAAAATTATTTGAGATTTTGCTTATTTTGAAATGCCTTTATTATATAGTCACACTTGATTAATGGTCTGCTTGGTATAGAATTCTAGGCTGAGAAGAGTTTTCCCTCAAAATCAGAACGTTTTGCCCAGTTGTTTTTTTAGCTGCTAGTATTGTTGTTAAAAAGGATAATGTCATTTTGATTCTAGATTCTTTTATGAAACCTGTTTCTTTGGCAGCTTTTAGGGTCTTCTGTTTCTTTGGTATTCAGAAATTTCATAAGATATGTGTGCTTCTATTTCGGTCTTATTTTCATCTGTTTTGCCAGGTACTCATGTACCCTTCCAGTTTGAAAACTCACATCCTTCAGTTTTGAGTATTTTTCTTGAGTTGTGTCTTCAGTTTCTTCTCAGTGTTCTCTGTTTCTGGAACTCCTAATATAATATTGAACATCCTGAACTCTTAGTTTTTGTTTAGTGTTCTGATTTTCATTTGTCTTTTTATTCTATATATTCTGTTAATTCCTCGGCTTTATGGTCTTCTAGCCCTTCTTTTGCCTATCTTATGGGGTTGAGGATTAAACAATTTATATACCTGAGGTGCTGTCATATAGTAAGTGCTTATGGTAGCTGTAATTGTTGTTTACTTTCATAACTGTCTTGAGGGAAAGGTCTTTGGCATTGATTCTTTGACTTCTTGGCTGTACATGACCTTGGCGAGTGCTGTAATCTCTTTGAGACCTACCTCTCTCTCCTGTATAATGTTAATAAGCTCTATCTCTCAGATGTTTGTGAGGATTGAATGGAATATATATGTGTAAATGCTTAATACCTTTGTACAGAATTAATAGTTAATGCGTGGATTTTCAAATATCAAAAGTTTTTAGTTTGAAGGGAAAATGATGTCTGAATTTTCAGGGTTGTTTTTAAGAGTACTTGATTATGACTCTCGTAAACCTGTATGAGCTACGTATGCTTGCACTAAATGCTAATACTTTTTAAAGAAGTTATGTCTTAGTATTCAATCTCATTATGTTAGGTTGAAGATAGAAGATTATGAAAATATTCTCTGAAAATCTCTGGCTTTACTTCAGATTGTATAAATCTGTGTAATGTAATAATTATTTAAGAATGACATGATTACTGATCTAAACCCATGGAAGGGGTATTTGTTGGATTATTTATTTTCACTTAAATGGTATTTGAGATTAGGAAAAAGAAAATCTGTCTTTTGATTTTTCTTGATAGTACTGATGTAATTTCAAATGTTAGCTCATTTTTGTTAATGGTGGCTTTTTGTTTGTTTGTTTTGTTTTAAGGTTTTTGGATTCAAAGCATAAAAACCATTACAAGATATACAATCTGTAAGTATGTTTTCTTATTTGTATGCTTGCAAATATCTTCTGAAACAACTATTAAGTGAAAGTTACTTGCTTGTTAGAGTGAAGTGGAGTTAAAGATATATTTTAACAGATTGTATTCCTAAACCAATTAATTCAAGAAGTCCGAGAGCATTGTTAGATCATTTAGAAAGCATGGTGATGAGGTAAAACAATGTTGGCACAGATTCATGTTACTTGATCTGCTTTAAATGACTTGGCATCTAGCCCATATTTGAGCCCATAACCGTGTGGTAATTTGAAGTGTAATTCACAGCGGAGCTTCTGTTAAAGCACTAATAGCATCTTCCATGGAGGTATACTTTAGAGTGAATATAATTTTGTTTATCCTGTGTCTCTAGAGCTATTGACTGAAGAAGCTGTTAGGGCATTCTCTAACTGTACATAACATAAGTTATTTAAGATTGCTGAATTAGTTGGCTTGTCTTGTCTAGGACAGAGTTTTAAGGACTGCCCACCTGATTGATAGAGCTAGTTGACCTTATCTTTAACTTTTTGTTTTTCTTTTGACTTTGGGAGTAGAGATGTGAAAAGGTAAAAAGGAAGGAAGGAAGAAAAAACTTAACTATCTTTGCCCTTGAAGACTGTCTTTCCTTCTCAAAATATTGACCATTTTCTGATTTTTAAAAATCGGCACATAAAACGTATTATTTTTCTACCTGACTTTATCTTCCCATGTGATATCTATAAATTATAGATAGGAAAAATTTTTAATGTAAAGTTATACATACTAATCCACAGTTAACAGTTTTTCTATAGAGTTTATCAAATGGAAGAACAAGATTCACTTCTGCCTTCAGTGGGCATTTAAACTAAACTTCTACTAAAAAGAAAGAAAGATTCTCTGTGCCTTCTTGTCTTATGGAGTGTTGCTTTTTTATCTGTAATTTAGTGATCTTTCTAGTGTGATAAAACGCCAGAAGTACTTAGAGTGGAGTGGACATCAATATTGTTACTCTCAGTAAATTTTCACTGGTTTTTCTCAGATTCATGAAGGAACAAACGTATGTTAAGTCCTTATCACTTATTAGATATCACAAAACATGTTGAGGGATGCGTACAGAGGTGAATAAGATGTAGTTCCCGTTCTCAAGTAGCTTACATTCTAATGTAAAAGGTAGACAAAGCATTACAGAAGTAACTCTTGTATAGAGGTTGCGATGAAGAGAATACTGGCAATAGTAATTGTACCTTATAGAGAAGGTTTCATAAAGGAAGGCATGTTTGAGCTAGGGTGAAAAGAACCAGTAAGGGTTGACTTTCAAGCCAAGGAGAGGAGGGGAAGTGACATTACAGGCCAAAGGAATGGCATTATAAGAAGCTTGTTGGCATAAAAGTGTTTAGAATATGGCAGTGAATTCATTATCATCAGATTGTGGTGTCTGTGTGTTGAGGGTGGGAGAGAATCACGGTAGCAATAGGCAACAAGATAAAAGAAAGTAAAAGGTGTTATAGAAACTTAATGGGCCCAGCGTACAAATGATCTATGCATTTAGGGGTCTTTCTCTTTTCCTAATAAACCTCTCCTACAAAGAGCCTTGTTCCAGATACCATAGTGTTTCTTTGGAGGAAAAGAAAACCACAAAGCTTTGTACTTTTTGCACCACTGGATTCAGAATCTAAGTAATAAAAAAGGACACGAACTTTCAAAAGCTGGAAGCCATTAAACTGAGTCATTTCAGGGTTAGACTATCAGAATTGGGGATTTAGAGAGTCTCAGAATGGAGATCGAAGGACACCTGAGACAAATTCTGCCTTTTTCAAAATTTTATTCTAGTTTAACATATTCAAAGAAAGGGAAGGAAATTCTTTTCATTTCTGTGTGTAGTGACTTCCTGCTTCAAGAACTTAGGACTTCAGCTGCACTCTCAGTATTGTAGGTCACTTACATTATTATGGTTAAAGTTGGCATTGCAGAGAGCCTAGGAACCTGACTGCCTGTTTGTTTTTATATTCCCAAACATTGGATTCCCAAGTTAATGAAGTTTCTTTAGTAGTTGAGGGTAGCTTTTAATGCATATATTTTAATGCCCCTTCCCCACATGGAATCATAGACTTTCAGAACGGGAGAGTACCTGAAAGAGATCATTTAGTCCAACCTTCTCATTTTACAGATGGGGAATCTGAGGCCTAGAGAAGTTAAGTGAGTTGAACAAGGTCACACAGGTACATATGGTAGCAGACCATCCACTGTTTATGCCAATATTCCCTTTATGTTTTGCTTTTTTGCTTGTTCGTTTTAACCTCTCCAAATTTTACTGACTTCAGAAGTTCCTAGAACTACTAAGTTATAGCATGTTATGAGTTCTAATGTCACTTTCCAATCTTCTTTATCTTTTTTCTACCTCTGTTTATATTTCTGGTTCTGGGTAAGTGAGTCTGGCAAGCTGCAGGTGTTCTATTTTATTTCCTTTATTTTTAGGATAGTATTACATGTGATATATATGTCTTTGCAAACATAATTTGAAGATCTTAAAATATTTGCACTAGGCATACCCACATTTAATAGTATGTTAAACCTTTTACAGCAATTACTATATACATGGTGAAGAAGAGTTCTTAATATGGACTTTCTGTTTAATTGTATCTTTTTATATCTGTTTTCTTCAGGCATTCATAACATTAAGCAAATTCAGGTGTACTGTTACTTAATTGAATTAATAAGTTTGTTTTGTACAAGTATATTTTATTTTTGTTCTTTGCTCTATAATCTGGTAGGAATGGGGAAGGGGAGATAGTGAATAAAGAGGTCTATACTTCTTGCCTTTGAGGAATTTAAGTGTTCACTGTATACTCATTTTTAAAAGGTATTTACTGTATTTCAGTGCATATTTTATTTGACATGCTTTATCATTTTGTGGTAAACCTTTAGCTTTACTAATTTTTATCTACTAAGTTTTCTTTTGTAAGATGGTGATAGCTTCATTGAAGAGAGTAAAGAAGAGACCTGCCTACCTAGCTGATTCTATGTCAAGTCTCACTTCTCTGGAAGCTTTTCCTGTTAATCTTATTCTTTTCTTCAGTTTCTGCCTCTTGTTTCATAAAAACTCATTCTTCAAATGTTTATTCCTTTCTCTTGTCTTATATAAGCCAATATGAGGTAATGGCATCTTTTGAGTTTTAGTTATAAGGAAATATAAATGGTTAAATTTAAATGGTTAAACCCCATTTGCCATTTGTGTATCTTTAATTTTAGTTCGTTGCGAGACTTATCACTACCAAACTGCAAAGAATTTAAAAGAAACTGGGTAGGTGGTAGGTAGAAGGAGGGCATTTATCAGAGATTTTAATTTAAGAAGAAAGTCTTCATCCTTATCCTACCAACCCCCATTCCCTGAGCACATTTATCATTACCAGTCCCGGTATATTTGCTCCCATATTTGCTATGCTTACCTGTGAAGATTTTCATAACTTTTTTCTTGCTTTTTACTGTCACTGTTGGTTCTATCATTTATGACAGATACTGCTGTTGTAGGAATGCTGGCTTTGACTAAAATTTGTTATTGCTTTTGTATGTAAAACTTTGTTTTTTTATTATAAGTAGAATTATGGAACAGTAGTAGAAAAAGTTTGACTTTTGTAATCAGAGATACTGAGCTTGAGTTCTTGCTCTTTCATTTGTATGCTGTTATTTGGAGCAAGTTTTTTAATGCTCTTAAATCTTAGCTTTCTCCTATATAAAATGAAGATAATATTAGCAGTTATCACGTGGTTGTGAGGATGAAACAAAAAAAGTGGAAAGTCTTTGTAAGGCATGTTCATCTAGTTGACACTTAGTAGTCATTACTTCCACTTTCCATCCATATAGTCCTCTTAACAGTAATATATGAGAGCCATTTTTATTAAGGCAATCTTAAGGAGTGTTCGTCAAACCACATGTTCTGGGATTCTGAGAAAGTAGGGGAAGTTTAGAGAACTGAAGCTGCACAAAACTAACGTTTATTTTCTGTTGTGTTGTCACGAGACCAGCTTCTTAGATTCTGTTTCCTAGTCCTACATCTCTGATTCCTTATAAAATACTCCATTATGAATTCTTCACTATTGACAATTTCTCCTCTTTTATCTGTACCAAAGAAAGTGTAAAATGTGACTGTCTTCTTTGTCAGTCCTCTTCTTCCTGTTTTTCATATCAGTGGAGATGAAATTATTAGCAAGGATGCATATATGTGCATATGTCATTGCTAAATACATTTTCTTTCTAAAAAAATTCAGTATACTAAATTATACTAAAAAGGAAAAGCTTGTTTTGAGTGGTAATATGAAAGTTGTTTTATTTTAGGTCTGACCAGTTAGAAACCAGTGGATTTCAGTTTATTTATAATTGGTTAAACCTTCATGTGAATTTGGTTTTGAATTTCCTTTAAAGTAGAGAAACTATATAGATGTTTTCAGGGTTTCTAAATGTACAATACAGGTTCACAATCACTTATTTGAAACTCTTGGGGCCAGGAGTGTTTCCATTTTCAGAAATTTTAGTTTTCAAAAGGTAACACAGATGCGTATACTTTTACATAAACACCCCAGTGGGATGTGGGTCAATACCTGAAATGAAATGTTTCACTGTTCACTCTAAGTGTATTAAAGATTATATACAGTCTTATTACTTCAGATCAGGATTTGCTGTAGTTGAGTTTGCCATAAAACTTAAGAGGAAGTGTTAGATGTTTTGAACTTTTGGGATATTGAAATTGCAGGTTAAGGATCTGTAGACCTTTATTTGTTTTAAAATGCTAAGATTTTATTTTAAATAATTTTTAAAAAAATTGTTTTGCATAGTAGTTGGAGTTACCAGGCTACTGCTAGCCACACTGATACATAAGATCTCTTTCTGAGCCTTGTATTGTTTGTAAACATGGGCTGTTAATTATTAGAAAGCCAGTACATACTAACGAATATATCACTGCTATTAAGACAAATATTAGCATACTCTAGTAATGACAAGTCAGCGTTTTACTATTCTGTATTGCTTTTGCTTATTCTTTCGTTACTCTCATACTGTAATTAAAACTTGCAACCTGAGAGACTGTTGTAAAAGGTGACCATTGGCTTTTCAACAGGGAGAAAGATCTGTTTTAAAAAAAATTGGTGGCCGGGCGCATTGGCTCAAGCCTGTAATCCCAGCACTTTGGGAGGCCGAGACGGGCGGATCACGAGGTCAGGAGATCGAGACCATCCTGGCTAACATGGTGAAACCCTGTCTCTACTAAAAAATACAAAAAAACTAGCCGGGTGCGGTGGCGGGCACCTGTAGTCCCGGCTACTCGGGAGGCTGAGGCAGGAGAATGGCGTAAACCCGGGAGGCGGAGCTTGCGGTGAGCTGAGATCTGGCCACTGCACTCCAGCCTGGGCGACAGAGCAAGTCTCCGTCTCAAAAAAAAAAAAAAAAGAAAAAGAAAAAAAAAAATTGGTCAGCATTGTGTCCAAGTAGATTAACATCATTCAGTTTTTCTTTACTGTCCTTATACTTTTATTATTTTTAACATATATCTTTTTGAAGAATAGTTTGAGAATTATGTATGCTTAAATATGAGATACAGATACTATTGAAACTAGCCAGTTGTTTATAGGTACTTGTAAAAAAAAAAAAATTCCAATAGCATGCAAATTTTTCGTAGAGGAAATTTGAAAGCATGGAAGCACCTGAATTTGCAGTACTCTATATTAGTGACATCACAAGTTTTGTAAGCAAATTTATTAGCTCTAATTGCATACACTTAATCTTTTAAGCTTTGGTTTTATTATTATAATATGGGGGTGATAATAGTATCTACTTAATAGAATTCTTATTACATGAAATAATTAATGTTAAACAGCATAATATGTGTCACATTATAAAGATTCAGGCAATGTTTGTTAATATTAGTACTTTTTTTCTTCCTAAATGCAAAAGATAACTATATATCACTTTTAAACTTTTCTTTTAGTTGTGCTGAAAGACATTATGACACCGCCAAATTTAATTGCAGAGGTAGGTATGAATGTACTGTACTATGCTGTATAACTTAAACCCGATAGACTATATCTTAACTGTCATAATAATGAGTCATCTAGATTATTGAGTGAGATACGTATTTATCTTAAGAAGTATCTTAAAAATTTTCAAAAAATTTAATTTTGCTGTTTTTTAGAAAAAAAGTATTGCATAAAGCTATTAATATTGTCAGGAAGACTGAAGTGCAGAGTAGACTAAGAATTAGGAAAATTCCTAGACTAAAAATAGTATAAGGAGAGGGTTTACCTACTGTTTAAGGCAGTAGGTCTAATAGTAAGCAACTATAGGGAGAAAGCAGAACTACTTAACTCTTCTGTGTTGAGGAATGACATAAAAGGTAGGAAAGGATATAACAAATGTTGATAAGAGAAACCTGATGGATGAGAGGAGGGAATTGCTTTAAATGAGTTCTACTTCAGACATAAGTTAATTCTCAGAGCCCACAAAAACTTTCACTTTTATTTGTGAAATACAGCTCAGTTCTATGACCTAACACTTTAAACCATGAGAGAACTGAAGAGTTGAGAAGCTAGGCAGATGCCGCTGTGATAGTCAAAAAGAGAAAGTGGGTGCCATGAGCTACTATTGATGTATTTGCCATTGATCCCTCCTGAAAATCTAGAATGGACTTTCAGACAGATGGTTTGAAAATTCTAAATCACTCATGATTGAGATTTGGTATAGATTCACTAAGAACGTTTTGTTTTTGTTTTTGGTGGATTTAGATTGTTGTTTACTAGGCAAAGCAGGCTTTAGTTGTTTATGTTGCTTTAAATAGACATTTAACAGGTTTTCCTGGAGGTTTTTGTGTACCACTGGGAAAATGGAGTTAGGCAGATGACTAAGTGAAAGCTGTCCTTCTGGACTCCCTATAATGATAGTCATTGTCTACCAGAAGAGCTGTCCTGTCACACCAAAGGATAATTGATTGTATCCTGTACCATATTATGAGTGACTTGATTGGAGATATAAGACATACTTCTCACATATTTAGGTAACACAGGATAGTACGTTGAGTATCAGTCAGAGTTTTTAAGGATCTTAATAGAGTGAAACTAAGGTAGAAACTATTAAGAACAATTAATAGTGATATATCTATAGTCCTGTTTCTAAACAAGGTTTTTTAAAAACCTCAACTCTGACTATAGTGAACGGAGAAGTCTTGGACTCTTATAATTCATGTGAGAAGACCTGAAACTTTGATAACAATTATATACATTTTATAAGTAATTTCTTTGGTGTATGCCTTCACATATCTCTGTATGTGACCTATGCTACCAGTCCATTGAGCGTAAATTCCCAGAATGTATTCTCCTGCAGAAAATGGAGGTAAATAGTACTTGGCTTCCCTAATGATTTACATGTGTATACAACACTAATATTTGCAAGACCACCTTTAAATAACACACTTAGCATTTTTATTTTATGAAATGTAATATGCAGTTCTTTCTATAGTTTATTAGTAATCTATTCTGTCTTTGGAATATGTTTTGTGATGATGAAATAAATACTATAAATAGTATTCCTTTTGCATTGAGAGTCCTGATGAAATGTCCATGTGACATTTCATTTTGGGTTTAGCTGTACCTCTAATATGTGACCTATGCTGTCAGTCCGTATAGTGTAAATTCCTAGAATATATCCTTCTGAATAAAATGGGGGAAAATAATACTTGCCTTCCTTAATGATTATATTTGAGACTTATCAAGAGACTATTTTCTATTTAAAAATTAGAAAGTTAAGCAATACATTATTTTTCTCTGGAATCTAGTGTTTCTTTTAAATACCTCTTAAGTTTGTATGCAACATTTCTAAAGTTAACCTACTTGTAATTAAAAATACAGGAGTTTTTTTCTTATTCTGAGGTTATCTTTTTACCACAGTTGCACAATATCCTTTTGAAGACCATAACCCACCACAGCTAGAACTGATCAAACCCTTTTGTGAAGATCTTGACCAATGGCTAAGTGAAGATGACAATCATGTTGCAGCAATTCACTGTAAAGCTGGAAAGGGACGAACTGGTGTAATGATTTGTGCATATTTATTACATCGGGGCAAATTTTTAAAGGCACAAGAGGCCCTAGATTTCTATGGGGAAGTAAGGACCAGAGACAAAAAGGTAAGTTATTTTTTGATGTTTTTCCTTTCCTCTTCCTAGATCTGAGAATTTATTGGAAAACAGATACTGGGTGTTTTTTTTTTTTTTTTCCTTCAGTTTTATTGAGGTATAATTGACAAGTAAAAATTATATATAAATACAATGTATAGTATCTTTTGATGTATGTATATATACATTGTGTAATGATCACTACAGTCAAGCTACTTAACATATTCATCACCTCACATAATTATTCTTCTCCCTTCAAGGTGAAAGCATTTAACATCTACAAGCTTCAATTTTCAGTTATACAATGTTATTATTAACTATAGTCACTGTGCTGTCCAGTAGATCTTCAGATCTTGTTCATCTTGTGTCCCTCCCCGCCCCACCATCAGTCCCTGGAAAACAGGTTTTAAAAATAGTTGCTAATCCTTATTTCTTCTAAATTTTTAAATCAGTTGCTGCCTCAATTTCTATATGAGAAATGACTGATTTCATTTTTCTGTTCATGCTACCATTTTCATATCATACTAGCACATGTTACCCATTAACTATATTGCAGATTTGGTCTCATAAAATTCTTTTAAAATAACATTTTTAAAAAGCTATCAAAAATAAGCTTATATTTCTGAAGCTTGTTTGAGCATAGAATGGCTTTGGATAAAATACCATTACCTAGTAAAGTGTGAACTTTTATAATACATAAAAATTATTCTTTTATAAGAATATTCATAAATGTAGTTAGATTAATAGAAGATTCTTGATTCTTTGATCAGAAAACTAAGGACTATATTGAAAAATCAGTGATAAATTTAATACTTATAGTACATCTGAAAGCAAAAAGAAAACTCTTGGAGAACTTTTACAGTGATTTAATTTTGCTGTTGATGTATTTCCTTGAGTGGTAAGTATGGCAAAGCATGTTAAAATTTAATACAAAGAGATTTTGTTCATTTTTCCATCTCTAAAGGGACAAAGCCTAAGCCCCTCCAGACAGATAGAAAAACTCATTTAGAGAGTTCCCCTTCATGTTAAGCTAATTTCTTCTTAATTCAACTGTAAAACAGAAATAGAATGATCATATTAATCATTTAAAGCTGTGTAGTTGCATTGATTCCTTGCCTCCTTTACCCCTCTCTCATGTCTTGTTTCCTTGCCTTTGTGACTTTTTTTGCATTATGTATAAGGATGCCAAAGTACTATTTATTGTTGATAGTTTACAAAATTGAATCTTACATTAGTGCATAATTTTGGTGAATGTTGAAGTTTATGGTAGATTGCCTTACATTTCTGCATATTGTTTGCACCTTGGAATGATAGCACTGGCATAAATTATAGAGCTGAGGATCTAAAGATTTTTACTTTGATTTATCCCATTATCATCTGCAGGGAAACAGTTGCTTTTACTGATTAAAAATATAGGCCAGCCGCAGCGGCTCACGCCTGTAATCCCAGCACTTTGGGAGGCCAAGGCGGGCGAATCACAAGGTCAAGAGATCAAGACCATCTTGGCCAACATGGTGAAACCTCGTCTCTACTAAAAATACAAAACTTAGCTGGGTGTGGTGGCGCACACCTGTAGTCCCAGCTACTCAGGATGCTGTGGCAGGAGAATCGCTTGAATCCAAGAGGCAGAGGTTGCAGTTAGCTGAGACCATGCCACTGCACTCCAGCCTGGTGACAGAGCGAGACTCCATCTCAAAAAAAAAATTAAAATGCAGTAGCAAAAGCGATGGTAGAAATTTAAAACCGAGTTGATGAGCAGCAGATAACTTGGTAGTGGGAAAAAAGTCAGGTAAAACAATTTTTGTAATAAAATAGAAAGATTTTGTAATGTGGAGGCACAGAACACTAGATTTAAGCCAGGGGGTCTTAAGTTGTGTTACATACCTTTTAAAAGTCTGATGGAAGGTATAAATGTTCTCCCACCAAAAAATGTACATAGTGTACATAAAATTTTGCACATAGTTTTTATTACATTGAAATAGATTATTTTAAACAGAATGTAAAAGAACTTTCATGAAAACTATGTCACTTTTTTTAATGCAAAAACCAGTGGCCACTACCTGAGAGCAGTGAATAAATCTAAGTGGTACAAATTAACCAAAATTAAGCTTTAGTTCTGTTCAATACGAAATTTTAGTGAAAAAACTGCTGCCGGGCGCGGTGGCTCAAGCCTGTAATCCCAGCACTTTGGGAGGCCGAGACGGGCGGATCACGAGGTCAGGAGATCGAGACCATCCTGGCTAACACGGTGAAACCCCGTCTCTACTAAAAAATACAAAAAATTAGCCGGGCATGGTGGCGGGCGCCTGTAGTCCCAGCTACCCGGGAGGCTGAGGCAGGAGAATGGCGTAAACCCGGGAGGCGGAGCTTGCAGTGAGCTGAGATCCGGCCACTGCACTCCAGCCTGGGAGACAGAGCAAGACTCCGTCTCAAAAAAAAAAAAAAAAAACTGCTATTTAACTTTTAAAATAACAAGTTGAAACTATGCTCTTTGACTTTGCAACTTTTATATCCAATCTTTGATATCCAATCAGTGTTGACTTTGGTAAAAAGTGCTGAAAATGCTATTTTACAAAAGAAAAAAGAGTAAATGGAATCTGAAGATTCTCTTGCCTGATGAAAGTAGACTTGTCAAGAAATAAGACTTCTCCAAGATTTGAGATAAATTCATGTTGCATCATTTTCTTTGCCTTCAAGTTACTGAGATCATTTTTGGCAAGATCTGTAACATTAATAGTGTGTTAGGAAGGAAAAGATTATGACTCCATATTTTACTTTCAAGGTTGAAGAGTTAAACTCTTTAAAAAGAGTGTATTTTACCCTGTAAACAACAGTATCAGGCTGTAGAATTTGTCTTCTGAAAGCAGTGAACTTACATATAGCAGAGAACTTCATAGAGCTCCCATTTCTTGACAAAACCTCTCAAGAAGCTCTTGATTGAAAGTCTTGGCTTTCATGAATCTGGCAACTTTCACAATAGTAGATTTTTCATGACAAATCCTCTTACACAGGCGATTATTCAAGGGTTGGCACTTGAAACAGTAGAATACTTTCACAACAAGAGATAAGATTTCTTTCAGAATTGATGACAGTCTTGCACCCTAGTGCGTACTGATGAAGAAAGCAGTGGGTGACCATGACATGGAGAGCTGCTGTCTTTACCAGTGCCACAATATCAGATGTGTTCTCTGGCAGTAAGGTGTACTATCTGCCTACAGTATACTGAGGTTTCTTCAGGAGAAGTTTTGTAGTAAAGAAACTTCACTATTTTGAAAGTGTTAATGTTTTCTGAAGTTTCCAAAAAGGATTCCAAAATGGGAATGTTTCCTTGATTGTGTCACCTTGCTTGCATTTGGTGAAAACTAGTAGCCGGCTATACTGAGAAATCATATCTGAAGAAAAATGGTACTTCCAATCTTTTTGTGACCTACTTTATTATTATTTTTTTAATGTCAGGGTTTTTTTTGGAATGGGTAAGAGTATTTGATAGAGGTATTTGCAACAGTCTTACTCTTCTTCATGCTACAAGTATGTTTGACTCTTTCTAAGATACTTGCCATCACCGTTCAACTGTGTGACATTTTTATTTGTTTAGCATTATAGTCAATAGCCTAGTAGATGATTTAATCAGGAGTTTTAATTGGAACAAATAGTTTTTGTAATGGTCTAGACTTTCCAACTAACTGTGCTCTCACATGTGGTCTCTTTTTCTCCCTCTTTTCTCCCTCTTACACACTCCCAGCCACACACATATGCATACATACCCTGTCTGATGTAGCTGCTTCTTCAGAATATTTGGCTGTGCTCTGCTGATGGTGAGAACTTGCCATTTAAGAAGGACTTGGGACAGTCCATCTCATCATGTTCAGGGATAAAAGTAAAACCCAAGGATACTTAAACTTTATTGTATTTTATTTTCTGTTTCCAGTCCAAATTAAATCCAAGAGAAGGCTCCATAATCAAAAAGTAAGGACATATTTTAAATTTGCCAGCAGGAAGATATTCTAGTCATTACAGTCTTATAGTACTATCAATTCTGTTTCTCTTCAGAGGTGAGGAGAGACTATTTGATGAAATCATAAGTCCTGTAGGATTTTGTGAAATAGGACCAGAATGAAAGCTAGCAAGAATAGTAGTTATGAAAATAAAATGCAAAGTTTATAATATCATGTGGTAAAATGTAATAGTATCTACTTCATCAGTAGAACTGCTCAAGTCGCCATATATTCTCCGTCCTTTGTATAGGTTGGATCCCCCAAGTGAAAGGAGATGATGGGCTATTAGTAAATAGAAAATGGAGATCTGTACATAGAGTATTAAGGGTGTAAGAATGTAAATATTAAAATTGTTATGTTTAGCTGTTATATAATATTAAGACTCAGAGTTAAGTAATTTCGCTGAAGTTGATCACTTTTTGTATCTTGGAATCAAAATAAATAACTGAAATCTACTATACTTGGCTCATGCTTAGTTAATGTACTTAGACCATATTTCGGATGAATTATTCACAGGATCTAAAGGAGTATCCTAGTGTGTTCCTACCTTCTTTATCTCTGTGTTTATTTAAAAAGGCAAAAAGAAATGTAGGAGCAGATGCTGTTGACCATATTTGACTAAACAGTAGCATTTGTGTTTAGATTGAAACAGCATTAGAAAACTAGATATGGATTAAAGTCAATGGTGGTTTTTTTTTTTTTTTTTTTTTTCCTTCCAGGAATATTTCTTATAGATGATCAAACAGGCCCAGAAAGGGGAAGTGTTGTGATCAATATTATCCAGTTCATATTAGCATTCAGAGGAAAATTTGAGTCCTTTTATATACCGTTAAATTTCTTTCTATACTATCAAGTCCACAAATCCTGGAAGTGCAAAAGAATTTTGAGACTGTTCAAAATAATCTCTGTATAGGGTCAGGCTTTCCTGCAAGGTTATGAAATGCTGATAGAATTGGTCTATTTTGAAAGGCTCCTCAGCTTATACCCTTCCTTACAAATGCTTCCTTACAAATGCTAAAGCATTTAATGACCCCTGATTTAAAGAGAATTTGGACAGATTGAGGTTGTTGGTCTTGGAAATAAATACTGCAGGCTCCTGTAAAATACTTGAAATGTAATTGTTTTAAAATTTTCAAAGATATCACTTGTTTGCCTATTGGTTAGAATACTAGTGAAATAATTTTTAATCTTTTATGAATAGCTAACTTCATCATAAGAAAACTTAGCTAAACATGGTAAAGCTGTTGTTATACAGCTGTGGAGTTCTTCCTGAGGAGTAACTGTCTTATAATAAATGTAATTGATTATCTAAAGTAGTTTTATTCTTGGAATATCTCATAATAGGTTTATTCTCTTCTTGTCAGTATTTCCTTGTAGATTGAGCCTGTGAATTTGCATTTTTGTAATTGTGAATCACCATTATAGGAGATACATATATTTTATCTACTTTTCAGTTTGTATGGGGTTAACTTTTATTAGAATCATCTTTAATGTTATTTTGCTTATATCCTTAATTTTAATTATAGACAAACATTAAGAAGCTGGAGAAAATTATGTTCTAGTGACATTTATATAGAAGAAGAATCTTTTTTCCCCCTTTTTTGAAGAGAGATGAGGCAGTCTCATATTTTTGTAAAGAATTTGTAGACTTTGTAGAGGTCTCTTCAAAATAATCTGGCTCAGAATCTTGACATATCCTCAGCAGACATGGTGCAAATTAGATGGCAGAGTGGTGGGTACAAGTTGACTATAAAATAAAGCATTAGGTTAGTAATGCCCAAATAATACTTTGGGTTTTGAGTGTTGCAGAGAAGTCAGACAACTGATACTATAAAGAAAAATGTTCTGAGAGTGAGGTAACTGCTTGAGGGAAGGAAGGCTCCTCCTGTCTTATTCACTAATTTACAAGAAGACAATTGTGTTACACTTCCTTAGGAGTCATTCATTTGTATATTTGATACTTTTGCTTTATGAACATGTGAAGATTATTCAAAAGCAAGCTGTTGGTGGTTTTTTCTTCCAAGAAAGCATGCCGCAGGGCAACTTTAAGGGTTGGTTCTCGTCTAGCCCTATGCCCCACACTGTCTGCATCTGCACTTAAGTTTCAGTATTAGATAACTCACATGTTTAAACTATGAAGAAAGAGTTAAAACATCCCGAGAATGCTAGTAAATGTGTATTTTTGAAAGGACTCCCAAAATTTGAGTTTAAAGAGGTAAACTCCTTTTTCATGAGAAAGTTACTTAGAATCACTACTGCTGTTTCCCTCTCCCTTGCCTTCTCCCTGTCGCATGCATACCCCCAACTGTGTTCCAGAATGATGGCACATAAAGGAAACATTCATATTTCCTTTTTTTTTTTCTTTTTTTGAGACAGTCTCACTCTATCACCTAGGTTGGAGTGCAGTGACGAGATCTCAGCTCACTGCAACTTCCACCTCCCGAGTTCAAGTGATTCTCCTGCCTCACCTCCGGAGTAGCTGGAATTACAAGCGCGTGCCACCAAGCCTGGCTAATTTTTGTATTTTTAGTAGAAGTGGGGTTTCTCTCTGTTGGCCAGGCTGGTCTTGAACTCTTGACCTCAAGTGATCCACCCACCTTGGCCTCCCAAAGTGCTGGGATTACAGGTATGAGCCACTGTGCCTGGCCTCTTATTTTTTCTTTGGTTAAACTTTTAGGAAAAAAATTTGAGCCGCTTTTAATTTTCTTTCTGTTTTTAAATAAATTATTAGAGAGAAAGTTTCTCTCTATTAGGAACTCTGTGTACATGAGTTCATTGAGCTTATTCTTAATAAAGACAAATCTTCCAGAAATAATATTTGTTAACTTTAAGTGATCTCAAGAAAAGGAAAATTTTTAGTTTCTCTGGGGAATGAATTTTCATGACCTAATCTTAAATCAGGTTATTTCTTCTAGCCTGTTTACTAAATTTCTACATGTTGTAACCTAATGAAATTTTCTTACCTCCTCTTTATTTAAAACAAACGATAATTACTGTCTTTTAAAAAATCTTCCAATGTAACGTTCTTACTTTTCTTAACACATTAATTTTCCTGGGCCAAACTGTGTTACTATGATCCACATTAATTAAGGCTGTTATATAATACAATAAAATTGTAGAACTTTCATACCTTGAAGGATCCTAGCAATTATTTAATTCAAACCCATTCTAACATAGTTGATAAAACAGATTTGCAGAGTTGGGTGGCTCATACCTGTAATCCCAGCACTTTGGGAGACTCAAGCGGGAAGATTGCTTGAGCCCAGGAGTTCAAGACCAGCTTGGGCAACATAGTGAGACGCTGTCTCTACAAAAAAAAAACTTAAAAAATAGCCAGGCATGGTGTCACATGCCTGTAGTTCTAGCTACTTGGGAGGCTGAGGTGGGAGGATTGCCAGAGCCTGGGAGGTTGAGGCTGCAGTGAACCATGATTATACCACAGCACTCTAGCCTGGGCAACAGATCGAGACCTTGTTTCACAAAACAAAACAAACAGATCTGCAAAGATCAACTTGTTCTAAGTCATATAATCTTTTTGTGTAATAACTAAAAAGCACATCTTCTAACCTTAAACCTGGTATTTTTTTCTACGAAATTATGTTCTACAGTCCAAATTATTTTTCTTTATTATTTTGAATCCTAAAGTAGAAATAGAAACTTAGAAAAATAAAAAGCGACTCCTTTATAATATATGAGGACTTTTTCAGTTTTAAATCAGAAAAACCCAAGTCAAGGTAGCTTAAATAAAAGGACTTACATAACCTAAAAGCTCTAGCCTGGATCTGGGTGCTCAACAGATCTCAAGAGTATCTCATTTTCTCTTCCTCCCTTACCCTTCTCCTCCTTTCTCTCTTCTGTATGTATGTTATTTTCAAACAGGCTCTAACAAGTAGTGGCGAGATATAGTTCCTAATAGCTTCAAGTTTGCATTCTACCTACTTTAGCAACTATGATGGGAAGAGAGCTACAATTTGAGCAAAAATTTATAGGGTGAGTTCTGATTTCCCTGGATCGAGGCACATACCTATTCCTGAACCAAATATTCTGGCCAGGGAATGGAATTCTCTGGGACATGTATCTAAAGCTGAAGTATAGAGCCTGCCACACAGGGATAATAATAGTTTTCTAAAGAAAAATCGAGGAGGGGAAAGAATGTTGGAAAGAGAAAAAAATATCAGTTGTCTGCTTCACATTTATTCTCAATAATTAGTTTCATATAAGTGAAATACTGTAACACCCTAAACTTCAGAGATTCTTCATAGACAGGAAAAATAAGAGCTCAAAGAAGTTGTGACTTTGTTCAAATCACATAGTTTCTATACATGCTATTAGTAAAACCCAGGACAGCTGAGTACAAGTTTTACCCTTATATTCACATTGAGGTCCAGATCCTGGTTTTGAATGAGATAATTATGTACAGTAGGACTGTTTTCTGATCCTTAAAATAGAGACAATGATATCTATCTTGCAAAGTTGTGGTAGTGTTAAAGATATATAAAATGATGGCAAGTACCTTAATATACGAAAAGCTGCTATATGTTGTCATTGTAATAATAGCCATATTTCTTCCTTTGTTGAATTGCTTTCCTATGGTAATCTTACTGTGATCATCCTGAGACATAGATTTCCGAGCTTCAAGCAAACACTATTATGTTGAAACATCTACATTATTTCTAAGTTTAGCAGTGCCGGTGGAAAGTTTACTGAAATAGAAAATTGCTTTTTTAACTGAGGAGTGTAGATTATAAATTCATGATTCATCTTCTCAGAAGATGATCGGAGTATTGATAAATATTGATGCATAGAATATGAACAAAACATTACATATCTTGTGCTGTGATATTAAAGTAGTATTCTGTTCTGGTAGTAGTATGGCAGTATTTTAGGTCTGAAAGATGTATATAATCTGTACTTTTAAATGTGTTTTTTAAGAGATTAATCACAAGAGATTTACATAAAACTAAGGTTAAAAATTAATGGTGGATTAGAGATACATCAGGCAAATTTCAGTTTCAAAAGCAGATGACAGAATCTCAGTATCAGAGTAGCATTTAAAGCAAAAAGCATTAAACTGGATCAGAAATGTCATTTTACATTAACGCAGGGTATACTCCAGGTAAAGACTTAGCAGTTATGAACCAGTGTGCTAAACATAACATCAAAATGTATTAAGCAAAAGCTGAAAAAAATGAAGAATAATTGGTAGAAAAGCAATGATAGGAATCTTTATGGTACTTCAGAAGTTACAAAGTAAGAAGATACAGTCATGTGCCACATAATGATGTTTGAGTCAACGCCTGACAATGGTCCTGTAAAATTAAAATGGAGCTAAAAAGTTTCTATTACCTAGTGATGTTGAAACCGTTGCAATGCAGTGTATCACTGACATGTTTGTGGTAATGCTGGTGTAAGCAAACTACTGTACTATCAGTTGTATAAAAGCATAGCACAGTTATGTTCAGCACGTAATACTTTATAATGATAAACGAATATGTTACTAGTTACTTGTTTACAGTACTATTTTATTATTTTAGCATGTGCTTCTGCTTATTAAAAAATGTTAACTATAAAATAATCTTTAGGCAGATCCTACAGCAGGTATTCCAGAAAACGGCGTTGTTGTCATAGGAGATGTCAGCTCCATGGGTGTTATTTCCCCTTAAGACCTTCCAGTGGGACAAGATGTATAGGTGGAAGACAGTGATATTGATGATCCTGACTTGTAGAGGCCAAGGCTAAAGTATGTGTGTATTTATTAGTTTTTAACAAGAGTTTAAAAAGTAAAAAAAAAAAAAAAAAAAAATTTAAAAATAGAAAAAATCTTACAGAATAAGGATACAAAGAAAAAATGTTTTTGTGTAGCTGTGTAATGTTTTTAAGTTAAATGTTACAAAAGAGTCAGAGTTAAATTTTTGTATGTTTATAAAGTGAAAAGTTATAAAATGCTAAGGTTAATTTACTGAAGAAAGAAAAAATTTTAAAATAGATTTAGAGTAGCATGTTTATAAAATCTACAGTAGTACACAGTAATATCTTAGGCCTTCACATTAACTCACCACTCACCCACTGACTCACCCAGAGCAGCTTCCAGTCCTGCAAGCTCCATTCGTGGTAAGTGCCCTATACAGGTGTACTGTTTTTATTGTCCTTTATACGATTTTTACTGAACCTTTTCTATCTTTTAGATACACAGATACCATTGTGTTACAGTTGCCTATGATATTGAATACAGTAACTTACTAAACAGGTTTGTAGCTCAGGAGCTGTATCATATAGCCTGGGTGTGTAGTGAACTATACCATCTAGGCTTGTGTAAGTATATTATATGATACGGTGATGAAATCACCCAGATGCAGTTTCTCTTAAGCAACACATAACTGTAGATATATAGGTGGCTTGAATAATAAAATAATGAAATGTATTTTTTTCTGTCATTGACAAAACATTACCAATCTTACAAATTAGACCAACTACAAAACAAAATCTCACTCGAAAATAAAAATATATGTCCCATTTCTTGATTACAATTCATTAGAACTGGAATTTTTTTAATGTTTAAATTTATATGGAAATATAAAATCATGTTTTAAGTAATTTTTGATTCAATGAGGAAATGTAAATTACATTAGAAATTGATTAATAACAAGTAGAGATTTATAAAGGCAAAAATGTTAATGAATTAGGAAACAGTAAACCATTTGAACTAATAAATCTAAATACTGATTACCTGAAAATGCCAATAAAATCAATACATATTTTTAAAAGCCAGTCAAGGATAAAAGAAAAGAGGGAAACTAAAAATGAGACATTAAGTACGAGAAAGGAGATAAAACTACAGTGTAGAGGTGATGTTAAAAATTATATTCAGGTCTGTGCTAATCATTTTGGAAATTTCAATGAGAAATGGGCAATTTTCAGTGAATATGTCATTGTAAATGCTTTAAGGAGAGAGACAAAATCTGAATAGACCCTGCAATAATGAAAATGTCTAGGAGCCCTCAAGAAATAACCTGGTTTAAATTGCATTTCAGGTGGCTGCTTATCAAACCTTGAAGTGTCAAGTAATTATGTTATCTAAATTGGACCAGGTGCTAGAAAATATGTCAGACTTCACAGGTGGCTGCTTATGTAGCCCTTATACCTTAATCTGATAAAGGTAGCATATATTTAAAAAGAAAACCAGAAGGTACAGTTTAGGGAAAATTAAATATTTCTATTTGGCCAAAGTAAGAGTACATTCAAGGGAATTGTGAGAGGTAAGAATGGAAAAAGAGGTTGGAGCTGTATTTTTATGCTGTGATTGAATTATAGTGTGTGATAAATTGCTCTTGTTTGGGTAGAATACCATTTTACATTTTGAATTAATTGGTAATTGGATTAATCTTAACTTCAAAAAAAATTAATCTAAGAGTGGTATAAAGGATAGATTACAGAATGGATAAAGGGCGATAAATCAGTTGGCTATGGCGGAATTGCAGGAAGAAACTGAAATAGGCCACAGAAAACTGAAACTGACATTTTGAGTAGTATTTTGAAATCAAGATCTGGATTTTGGCAGCTGAGTAGATGCATAGGAATCAAAGATGAGTATACTAAGTGAACTTAATCTATGATTTGTCTCATTTTATTGTGTACCATTAGTGTGTATCCATGTATGTATGTGCCAGGTAGTTAATATGCTGACTGTGTCTCTTAGCTCCCCTCTGCTGCCTGGACCTTTGCCACAGTGCTAGAGTTCCCTCACTTCTCTTTTCTATAACCCTATGATACTACTGCTGTCTCTCAACTGTGTTTCCTTCCTCAAGCAGAAAGAAGATGGCAGGATCATATTGTAGTTGACTAGAAGCTGTGGAGTTTGAGTGCTGGGATTATATCTAGTTCCATTACTTATGAAGATATATGACTTTACCTCATCTATAAAATGGTTTACCAATAGTACCTACCTTACATGGTTTTATGAATATTAAATTATGTATTTCTAAAGAGATTTAGAACAATACAAAGAATATGGTATGGGCTCAGTAAGTGGTGGTGGTGTTAGTTATTAGAAGGCCATCAAGTGCTGGAGAAAATAGTGAATATGATTGATGGAAATAAGGGGGGTTTTCCAAGTTAAAAAGCTTCAGTTTTTGGAAATGTGTGTTGTAAGTATTTCTGAGATTACCAGGTAGAAATTCCAGCCAGATGTTGGAATTCTGCACTGGCAGTTGGGAATAAAGTCATGTTGAAGGAGATAAGTTTTGGAGTTATTGTGTAAAATTGGTAAAGCACTGGAATAGATTGGATTGACAGAGGGGAGACTCTTTTGAGATAGGCCTATATTTAGGGACAAGAGAAGGGACAACCAATAAGGGTTGAAAGAAACCTTAAGAGAGTAAGTCCTATGACAGAAGCAGGGAAGTTTCAGAATGGATGCAGAAAGATCAGCCAGGCTCTTCCTGTTCTCCATCGTGGTGCGGCATCAAGGTGAAAAGGATAACACCATGCAGGAACTTTGCATCTACAGGCTCTGCTTCAACATCTGTTTAGGAGAAAGTGGAGACAGATTGACCTGAGTAACTAAGGTGTTGGAGCAGCTTACAGGTCAGACATGGGGTTTTCCAAAGCTAGATAATACTGTTAGCCCTTTTGGCAATAGAAGAAATTAAAAGACTGTTGTCTGCTGCACAGTTCAAGAGGCCAAGGCAGATGAAATCTTGGAGAATGGTCTAAAGGTGCATGAGTGTGAGTTAAGAAAAAATACCTTCTCAGATACTGGAAACTTTGGTTTTGGGACCCAGGAACACATTGATCTAGGTATCAAATATGACCCAAGCATTGGTGTCTACAGCCTGGACTTCTATGAGGTGCTGGAAAAGCCAAGTTTCATCATGGCAGATAAGAAGTGCAGGACAGGCTGCAGTGGTGCCAAATAGAATCAGCAAAGAGTAGGCCGTGCACTGGTTCCAGCAAAAGTATGATGGGATCATCCTTCCTGGCAAATAAATTCTCATTTCTACCCAAAAGGCCAATAAAAAGTTTTCAGTGAAATGTTTAAAAAAAAAAGATCAGCCAGCAGCCAGTAGGGTATCAATTGTTGAGAAAGCACTAATGACCATTAAGAAATCAGCCTCGACTGGGCATGGTGGCTCATGCCTGTAATCGTAACACTTTAGGAGGCCAAGGCAGATTTCTTGAGTCCAGGAGTTGAGACCAGCCTGGGCAATGTGGCAAAACCCTCGTTTCTACTAAATAAATAAATAAATAAATAAATAAGCCTTGGATAAAGAATAAAGATTACTTGAGCATATTATTTAGATACAAATGGAGAGAATAAAGGCACATGCCAGATAGGAGATAATTAATAAAGCACTTGCCCAAAATAGAACCTCGTTGAACAGGAAGAGACATCAAGCATGAAGCAATTTTAAGATGGGAGAAGGGAATTTTGAGTGTTCATATTGGATGACCTCAGGGTTCCCAGTAAAACAGGAGCTGAATTCATTGAAGATGATGTGTTGGTCAGGATAAAAAGAGAGGTTGGGAGAACAAAGTACTAAAATCATTGTGGTCAGGAGTTTAGTAAGTGTATACCAGAAGAGTTATTGAGTGATATGAGTTTGAAATAGGCAAAGCTGTAGGAATGGGGGCTGGAAAGAATATTAGAAGGAACACTAAATATACTTCTGAGGTCTACCTCCTGGTCTGGGAACATAAAGGAGTTGAAAGAGTAATGGCTAAAGTTGTTTAGCTAAAGTTGTTTGGCTAAAGTTGTTTAGCTAAAGTTGTTTAGCTAAAGTTAGAATGTGTTGAAAGTTGTATTTGAGGGGAAAAGGTTAAGGATACAGTTGACCGTTCGATAATGTAGCCCACTGTTGACCAGAAGCCCTACCCATAACATAAACAGTCAATAACACATATTTTGCGTATGTATTATATAGTATATTCTTACAATAAAGTAAACTAGAGAAAAGAACGTGTATCAAGAAAATCATAAGGAAGAGAAAATACATTTACAGTACTGTATTTATTGGTACTATACATTTATGTTGTCGGTTTACAAGATGAAGCATCTGAAATGGCCAGCAGCTATAGCTGTACGTATCTACTGTACATATCAAGCAAGTCACCTTATTCTTATAACATCCATGACTTTTCTCCACTTCTTGAAAGCACTTCCATTATCACTATTGGCACTTCACACGGGTCTCATGGTGTTAAGGTTTACAGCATTGCATTAAGCACAATGAAAAATACACAAGAGGGCTGGGCGCGGTGGCTCACGCCTGTAATCCCAGCACTTTGGGAGGCCGAGGCGGGCGGATCATGAGATCACGAGGTCAGGAGATCGAGACCATCCTGGCTAACATGGTGAAACCCTGTCTGTATTAAAAATACAAAAAATTAGCCAGGCATGGTGGCATGTGCCTGTAATCCCAGCTAATAGGGAGGCTGAGGCAGGAGAATCACTTGAGCCCAGAAGGCAGAGGCTGCAGTAAGCCAAGATCGTGCCACTGCACTCCAGCCTGGGTGATAGAGCAAGACTGTGTCTCAAAAAAAAAAAAAAGAAAAAGAAAAAAAAATACACAAGAACCGTGAGAGAGTGAGAGATAGCTTTTGATTGCAATACACAATTTACTGGAGAGATGAGCTGATCATACAGAGATGATTAGTGTCACATGGTGTTTTAAATAGATTCTTGCAACCCTTGAGCTCACTGCAGTAGCAACAGAAGTTAGCTATGAGATTTTAACAGTAGTATAGTATGTACTACAGTTAATATTACGTAACTATGATTTAATGCTGCATCTTTGCATTTGTTTATTATCTTGACTACAAGTGGTATTATGTCTGGTCTTAAGGTTTGTGTGCATATGTTTTGATGAATTTTAACTTTTTATAATAGGTTTGTGTATATTTTATGTCAGTAAATGATAAAACAGACTAATAATCTACATATATTTTATGTATTCATGACCTAAATCTAACTTTTTCTTAACTTTTTGATATTTCCAGGCTATGTGTTTCATCTGCAGGTTTTTTCAAATTGTTGAAATCTCTGAAAAATGTTATTGAAAAAAAATCCATATATATAAGTGGACCCACACATTTCAAACCTGTCTTCAGGGTCAGCTGTGTAAATAATTTTCTTCATAATTAAAGTGGAAAAGGAGAGTTACTACTAGTAGAACTGTACCCTTGAAGTGTGTGTGTGTGTGTGTGTGTGTGTGTGTGTGTGTGTGGTTAAAACTTCTTGGTTAGAGATAAAACTGGTCTTTATTAGCCTTAATTTACATGAAAAATGCAAAATGTTAGGCCAGGCACAGTGGCTCATGCCTGTAATCACATAACTTTGGGAGACTGAGGTGAGCAGATCACTTGAGGTCAGGAGTTCAAGACAGCCTGGACAACATGGTGAAACCCGTCTCTACTGAAAATACAAAAGCTAGCCAGGCGCAGTGGCACATGCCTGCAATCCTAGCTACTTGGGAGACTGAGGCAGGAGAATTGCTGGAACCCGGGAGGCAAGGTTGCAGTGGGCTGAGATCGCACCACTGCACTTCAGAGTGGGTGACAGAGTGAGACTCCGTCTCAAAAAAAAAAAAGAAAAATTTGAAAACACAGAGTATTTTTTAATCTGCAAGAGCTTTATAGCCTTTTATTCATATGTATAAGCTTTTAAAGATGAGTAAAATTTTAATTTAGTGTGGACTTTCCACTCATTTGAAATCCTATATTACAGGTGTTAATTCAATTTTAGTGAGTGTGCATCATGGCTCAGAGAGATAGGACTAGAATGAGGAGGTCACATTGGAGACTCTGAAACAGATACATGTGAGCCTCCCAACTTTTTAATATTTGTTAATCTAGAAATGTTGAATTTCGGGTGCTGACAAGGCAGCAGGTAGATAATAATTGCAAAGTTAAGAAAATAGACTATAATTTTGATGGTAAACTAATCGATTAAATTTTAAAATGTACTTTTCCATGGTTTTCTTTGAATTGTCAGTAATTTTGTTTCAACTGGTATTCATACATAAATTATTCACCCAATGTTGACAACTAGTACATTTACATATTTTTTATGTTTGCCTATCCTTTTTTGGGTAAGGATTAACAGAATGTATAAACACCTACATTATAGGTACACTACTAATCACTTGCTACTTGAAAAAACCTAAAGCTTTGAAATCTTTTTATTATTGCACACAGACTTATGCCAAAAATGGAGATAAAGAGAAAAATGTCATCTACTAAACCCCAACAAATAATGTCGACAATGTGGTCTCCTCGTAGACTTGCATTGACTTAATTTTTTAAAAAAATTTTATTGCATATTTTGACTAGATTATAAATGCATATGGTTAAAAAATTCACATGATTCAAAAAAGTTCCCCTCCCACTCATCTTCCATGTGATATTTCCTTTAGCTAACCTACTTAGCAATTCTATATTTATCCTGCTAAACATGAATGACAGTTGTTTGCTGAAATTACATTGAATGTGATGTAATAAGTCATTGTAAGTTTACATTTTTTAGCTTTAATAATTTTTAATGTTTTAATGAAGAGTAGTAGTACTGCTCTTCAAAGTACTACTATTTTCCCTTACCTTTTACTATTTTGTTAAGAAAATCATATAGAAATAAAACTCCAGCTATTCAAAAACTGTACCTTAAGTACAGGTAGAGAATTGCTAAAACCGTATACTATTTTGTAGTTTTAGCATGCTTTTGTGTAACTGCATCTGGTGTTTGATCCTCATGAGAACCCTGTTAAGAAGGAAGGGTACATATTATTGTCCTGATTTTCCTTCGAAAACACGTCAGAGTTTGTATTTTGACTGTCAGCATTTAAATACAAGTCTTTTATTTATAAAATTGTGGTCTTTATACTGTGGCCAAAATCTTAAATCACTTGTCAGGATTAGAAATGGTTTATACCTGTTTTTTTGACATTTATACACATACACACATATTTTTAAATTGTCTATAATAAAATCATGCGCATCTTTGAAAAAATATTAGGAGTACTACAATGGATACCTACATACTTGCTATTTATCATACCTGGTTTTTTGTTTGTTTGTTTGTTTTTTGAGACAGTCTGTCTCTGTTGTCCAGGCTGGAGTGCAGTGGCGCGATCTCAGCTCATTGCAACCTCTGTCTCCCAGGCTCAAGTGATTGTCCTGCCTCAACCTCCCAAGTAGCTGGGACTACAGGTACACACCAACACGCCCAGCTAATTTTTTGTATTTTTGGTAGAGACGGGGTTTCACCATGTTGGCCAGGCTGGTCTCGAACTCCTGACCTCAAGTGATTCAGCCCGCCTTGACCTCCCAAAGTGCTGAGATTACAGGTTGTGAGCCACTGTGCCCGGCCTGTTTTTAAATTCACATAAATATGTTTTATATTTTTCATTAGGGAGAATAAGGTTATTTGTGTCCAGAATTTTTAAGACACTGGGGAGATGCAGATGCCAGTAGTAATTTAAAGAGAAATAATTGCAAATTCTTTTTCCTCTTGAGTATACTCTCATTTAAATTACAGTTTTCTGTAAGTTACTTTTAACTGTTAAACTTCTTGATGTTGCTTATTGTTTGTCTTATATTTCTAGGTTGGATTTTTCTTAAGTCACATGTCTAATAAACCCTTAAATACCTCATTTATTCATCATCGTTAGTGAATGCATTATTGTACATATTAGATTTTTCTCTTTAGATAACTCAGCTTCCCCTATTAAATGCCACATATATTATATATATTTTGTTTATGTTTTATTATTTAATGAGCTCTTGAGAACTACATGCATTTTAATCATTTGTAATACTTACATTTTCTAAAATCCTTCATTTTCCCCTGGTTTCTTCAGCAAATAGATGCATGTAGTACAGGGATAGCTTTACTTCTGTTAGAAGATTGTTGCATACATTTACATCATCTGCATACTCCTGTTTTTGTTGGACTCTAATGCCAGCATCAGTTTTTGCTGCTGCTATTTCTGCCTCTTAAAGGCAATATGCCTCTGTCTAGTTTGCTGATTCTGATACGCTTTGCCCTGGAAAGTAGGTAATCAAGTTTGTGAGGAACTGTGTGTTTAAGGAGTCCATAAATCCTTGTGGGGAGCCCTAGGTGTAAAGAGCACAGCTGTAGGGCAGAGGCCTTTGACATTTATTTTGGATATGCAGTGGCCTTTGCCTATGGGGTTCATGGGTCAGAGCACTGTTGTGACCTTTGAATAAATGGGGTGTTACGATAATTGTTTCAAGGGAGAAGAGTTATTCTTATATTATCCTTTGTATTGATATTGCTCTTATTTATTACTGAGCTGGATTTAAGTATTAATCATTTAAGGTCAAATTTCTAATGTACATATGTTCTTCAATGGCTACAACCCAGTTACTATAGCAATTTAGTGAAATAACTATAATGGAACATTTTTTTTGAATTTGGCTTCTCTTTTTTTTTTTTCTGTCCACCAGGGAGTAACTATTCCCAGTCAGAGGCGCTATGTGTATTATTATAGCTACCTGTTAAAGAATCACCTGGATTATAGACCAGTGGCACTGTTGTTTCACAAGATGATGTTTGAAACTATTCCAATGTTCAGTGGCGGAACTTGCAGTAAGTGCTCTGAATTCTCATCCTTCCATGTATTGGAACAGTTTTCTTACCATATCTAGAAGTTTATATAAAAATTTAGAAAGAAATTTACCACATTTAAAATTTATGCAGGAGACTATATTTCTGAAGCATTTGAACAAATTAATTAGCTTTGTTGTTCAACTCATTGGGCTAAAGAAGCCAAAAGCAATGGGTTTTAATGTAGTCGAAGCCAAATTATATTTATGAAAGAAATATTCTGTGTTATACACCAAATACAGCCCAATTCTGACCAGATGATGGAAGAACCTGTCCCATCAGAGGTCCAGCATGAGGTCCAGCAGAGGTCCACCAGAGGAGTTCAGCAATTTGCTGGTCTTAGGGCAGGGATCAAGTCCTTAATATCTTAGGGAAACTAGGTATTGACAATAATGGTGACAAAGCAATAAAAAGGAAAGGAAGAAGTGATAAGACATGGCAGCAAGCTGAAGTAAGATTAGTAAAGAATAGGAATCAAAGTATGTGGAGTGTTAGAGAAAACCTGGATTTAGATCCGGATTCCCGTCCTGGATCTGTCATTAATCTATTGTGTAACCCTGGGCACATCATCTACCTCTCTTTGAGTTTGCTTGTCAATAAAATGAAGAGACTTTGAAATCTGAAACTTCTGGATAAGTATGAAGTACAGATTATATCACTGATGTCTGCCTCTAATTTATTTCTCCCTTTTACCCTAATCTCTATAAGTCTACCTCAGTCATCCTGATCCTATTCTACTTCTCCGATGATGTTTGTCAGATAGGTGTGATCATCATCATCAGATCTGTTCTGTATTCTTAGAGACAGATAACTTTATCAAAGACCGGAGTTTATTAGTATAGCATGTTAAATAAAGGCTTCTAAAGAGTCTCATTGATGCTCTTTACATCTCAGTACAGTTTTTAAAACTGCTGAATGCAAGGTACTGGGCTGTTGGAAGTGACTAACAAAGGAATGTAACAGATTCATAGAGAAGGAAAAAGGAAGAAAAACTCATGCTCTTCCTGTAGTATTGATGTCAGTGTAAGAGCCAAGAGAAAGGTATAAAGTATCATGGAGATATTAAGGGAGAGAAAACATTCACTTTAGTAATCTTTCCTAATTTTCTAGTTTCCTCTTATGTACTATGATATAATACTGTAGTAAAGCTTTAATAAAAAACTAGCTATATGTAATTAAGTGGGAGGTTGTGGGGCTAGGCATAAGGCTCACACCTGTAACCACAGCACTTTGGGAGGCTGAGGCAGGCAGATCACTTGATCTCAGGAGTTTGAGACCAGCCTGGGCAACAAGGTGAAACCCCATCTCTACTAAAAACACAAAAATTAGCTGGGCATGGTGGCACGCACCTGTAGTCCCAGCTTCTCGGGAGACTGAGGCAGGAGAATCACTTGAACCTGGGAGTCCAAGGTTGCAGTGAGCCGAGATCATGCCACTGCACTCCATGCTGGGCATTGGAGCAAGACTTTGTCTTAGAAATAAATAAATAAATAAAAATAAATAAAATAAAATAAATGGGAGGTTCTGTGTATCAGTTACAAATGCTACATTCAGAAAAGCTCTTGAAGGTTTTCAAACAGTTTCTTAAAGGAGGTTCACCAGCTCTTTATTGAACATTGGAAAAAACATACAGTTTAGATTGGCATTAAAACTGAAAGAAGTGGCCAGACGCAGTGGCTCACACCTGTAATCCCAGCACTTTGGAAGGCCGAGGTGGACAGGTCACCTGAAGTCAGGAGTTCAAGACCAGCCTGGCCAACATGGTGAAACCCCAACTCTACTAAAAATACAAAAATTAGCCAGGCGTGGTGATGCATGCCTGTAGTCCCAGGTACTTGGAAGGCTGAGGCAGGAGAATCGCTTGAAGCCAGAAGTTACAGTGAGCCGAGATTGCATCATTGCACTCCAGCCAAGGCAATAAGAGTAAGACTCCGCATCAAAAAAAAAAAAGACTCCTGAAAGAAGTATTACAGGCAATGGGAAATAGCTTCAGTTGAAGTGCAGCAGAAGGAAAAAGCTGGACAAGAATGTAGTGACAGATAATAGGTATGGAACGTATGACTGACTGTTAGAGGATCCTGAATGGGGATAACAGACTTGATTTAATAAATACTGAGATGTCATGATAACACTTGAGGATTAAACCATGTTTTTAAGGACAGTTGTATGCAAAGTTATAATCGCAAGAGTAAAACATAGTGGAAAAGAAACCAGTAATAAAACTTGCCTTAATGCAGGTATGCTAAGACAATCAAATGGGATTTCATTAATTTTTTATTTGCCATTTATAGCTAAAAATTTTGTAAAAGTTTTGATCCCAGTCAGGTGAAATAGTCACAGAAAGAAAGAAAAGTGAATCTGAGACTTGAAGACATTAATGTTGATATTTTGGTTTTAAACGTGTTTTAAATCTCGTAAAAGTGAGCTTCTCACATGACAATATTCAGTGGGTACTTGGGAGTATGGGTTCGAATCTAGGTAGGAGATATATCGATATTTTGGGCAGCGTCAGGAAAGGGAGAGTAGTGAAGCCTTTCATATAAATATGGTCTGGAGTTTGGGGATGGGAAGGCTCGGAGGAAAGGAAGAAAAGGAGAGGGTGAGGACTGTGATAAGAATGGCAACTTGGGTTTAGGAAGAAGAGGAATCAATAAAGAAAACAGAGGTAGTGCTGAAAAATACAGCATCTTCTGTAGGGATTTGCAGCTTTTTCTTACTTGATTTTTGTCTTAGTATTTCCAAGTGATAGAAAAAGTTACTACACTCTAGACATTTAACAGGGTTAAAAATGTTACTGAAAGATGATCAGTGTGGTTTTCTTTCAAGACTATAACAATATGTATATATCCAAGGAATTTTAATTCTGACTTTAAAAAATTGTTTTACTTGTATAAATTTAAGGACACAAGTGTAATTTTGTTACGTGTATAGATTGTGTAGTGGTCAAGTCAGGGCTTTTAGGGTGTCCATCATCTAAATAATATACATTGTACCCATTAAGTAATTTCTCATTATCTCCTCTCCCTTTCAAGTCTCCACTATCTCCCATTCTCTGCACTCTGATTTTCATTTGCTAGGTGTATTAGGTTGTTTTTGCGTTGCTATAAAGAAATACTAGAGACTGAGTATTAAACAGGTTTAACCTGTTTTCTTTATAAATTCTTCTTTAATTGGTTCATGGTTCTGCACGCTATACAGAAAGCATAGCAGCATCTGCTTCTGGGGAGGCCTCAAGAAGCCTCCAATCATGGCTGAAGGCAAAAGGGGAGCATGGTGAGAATGGGAGCAAGAAAGAGAAGGAGTGGTGGGGAGAAGGTGCCACCCACTTTTAAATGTCAGCTCACTTATCACCAAGAGGATGGCCCAAGCCATTCATGTGGGATCTGCCCCCATGATTCAAGCACCTTCCACCAGGCCCCACCTCTAGCATTGGGGATTACAATTCAACCTCAGATTTGGGAGGGAAAGATATCCAGACTATATCACTAGGTCTGGATCTTGTTATTTATTTTTTGGAACATATTCAGTCATATACGAGGATATATATAGTAGAAGTCCACAGAACCATACTAATATTGGACTTCTGGTTGGTTAGGTCTTATCTATCTGAAACATGATATTCATATTGCAGAGAAGATTATTTTCTTTAGTGATTGAGGAAATCTTTACTACTTGTAAATTTTTATATAATACTAAAATATTTGAAGATGTACGTTTTGGATGTAGTTTAATTGAAACCTGGAAGTACTATTAATTTGCTTTTGAAAGTCCTAAAATCAGGGTTATCAGATTCTGAATTAATGGAGTTTAAAAAGATTTCCCAGCACTTTGGGAGGCTGAGGCGGGCGGATCACGAGGTCAGGAGATCGAGACCATCCTGGCTAACATGGTGAAACCCTGTCTCTACTAAAAAATACAGAAAACGTGGCGGGCGCCTGTAGTCTCGGCTACTTGGGAGGCTGAGGCAGGAGAATGGCGTAAACCCGGGAGGCGGAGCTTGCAGTGAGCTGAGATCTGGCCACTGCACTCCAGCCTGGGCGACAGAGCGAGACTCCGTCTCAAAAAAAAAAAAGATTACAAGGCAGTTTTGCAATTTTATTCTGATTAATTTTATCACAGCTTTGGAATCCTACTTTGTTTATTTGCTTCTTCAGTTAGATTTCCCAGCGAAATTTCAGTATCACATAAAGTCTTATGAAATGGCCCATTGCACTTTGAACTTTGAGGGAAGGAAGTGAAATTTATTGATAGATTGTTGGTGTAATATTTCTCCTGTTTGTGGTAGCTTTTTCAAATAATGTATCTTAGAAGACCATGTTAGAATAACCTGCATGCTTTTATCAAACATATTAATTATGTGATTGCTGATAGTGCTTTAAATATTACATAGAAATAGTAGTAGGTGTTTACTAAACTGGAAATTTTGTATAACTTGGTTTAGCTTTTGCCTTGTTCTCAGTGACATTGATAAAAATGTAAGACTTTTGTTTATCTTTTAGAATAATGACACCTTTTGGTGCTGAAAATTTTTTGTTATATATATATACATAGTATAAATATAAAATATATTTAAATATAATATTTCTCATAACTTTATGTAAGCTTATGTTTCTCTTTCTCTGTAATCTTTGCATGTTTTCTTCAAATGGCACTTCATAACCTCCTAAGGTTAATAAATTTCTTTGTAATGGACTTTTGTTTTCTAATTCCTCAACGTATGACAAATGAATTATATATACTTTGTCAAATTATTTAGGTAACTTTAAGTTTTTGATGTCCTGGGATCATAACATTCATCAGTCTTTAATTTCTGTCATTAAGGTCATTAGCTATAAATGAATTTATGAGTAGATTTAAAAAATAAAACATATAATCCTTCCCTTAACACACTTTCCCACCATTTGGTTGAATTGCTAGTGTAAAAGCATGATGAATTTTGAGAAGTTATATTTTACCAGTTACTTTATTTTTTTATTTATTTATTTTTTTGAGACAGAGTCTTGCTCAGTTGCCCAGGCTGGAGTGCAGTGGCACCATCTCAGCTCACTGCAAGCTCCACCTCCCGGGTGCACTCCATTCTTCTGCCTCAGCCTCCCGAGTAGCTGGGACTACAGGCGCCCGCCGCCACGCCCGGCTAATTTTTTGCATTTTTAGTAGAGACGGGATTTCACCATGTTAGCCAGGATCGTTTCGATCTCCTGACCTCATGATCCGCCCGCCTCGGCCTCCCAAAGTGCTGGGATTACAGGCGTAAGCCACTGCGCCCGGCCAGTTACTTTATTTTTTACCAGTTATTTAAAACAGACATGAACCAAAGCCAGAATACTTGTTAATGAAAATGAGATGTTTTGGAGGAAAGGGAGGTTGTGCTGCAGTTTTTACTTGAACTCTGTTGCATTTCTTTACAGAAATTTCAAATCTTTTGTTTCCTGTTTCTTATGATGGTAACATTATATATCTTTAAAATGTGATCTATAGGTAAAATGAATGATGGTTAATTTTTTAAATAAATATTTAGACTTGTGTTTTTGAAATTTATTATAACATTGTTATAGGTTTTATCCTCTTTCTCTTGTGAACATGTAATGATTTATATTTTGTGATCCTTGCCACATGCTAGAGACTTCAGAATACTATAGCAAATACCTGTCTTCTTTATGTTTTAAAATTTTTCCTGACCACTGCCTGTTGATACCTGTCTTAAAAGTTATTTTGATGTTGTTCACAAATGTACCAGATAATTATTTCATCGTTTTTAATGCTTAAAGTTTTTATTTATATTAGGATTTTTAGTATGATTTTAATGTTAAAGTTTTGAAGTTATTCTGCCGCTAAAAGTCTAATCTTGGAACTTACTATTCAGGAAACAGAACTTGACTTTTATACAAGTAATAGGACCTTATTTTGAAAGTTCAAACTGGAGAAAATCTTACATTTTTTCTATTTCTATTTCATTTATTTCCATTGATTTGCTTTAGATCAAGATTGCAGATGCGGAATCCATATTTTGTGAATATTGCTGATATTAATCATTAAAATCACTTTTGACAGTTTGACAGTTAAAGGCATTTCCTGTGAAATGATACTAGTATGTATTTAACCATGCAGATCCTCAGTTTGTGGTCTGCCAGCTAAAGGTGAAGATATATTCCTCCAATTCAGGCCCCACACGACGGGAAGACAAGTTCATGTACTTTGAGTTCCCTCAGCCGTTACCTGTGTGTGGTGATATCAAAGTAGAGTTCTTCCACAAACAGAACAAGATGCTAAAAAAGGTTTGTACTTTACTTTTATTGGGAGAAATATCCAAAATACGGACAGATTAAAAGCTATATTTTATTTTATGACATGTAAGGAACTATAATTTGTTTTCTATTAGATATGCAGGTGTTTTGCTTACTCTGGCATTGGTGAGACACTATAAGGGTAAATAATCCTATTTGAAGGAAAAGGCCTTACAGCATTGGAACATGAGAGGAATTTTCCTTAACAAGGATGGTTAACTGAGAAGAAATTAGCATGGGACCAAGATTTTAAAAATTTTGGTCTATAGTAGAAATGAGATCTGTTCTGTGGTCTTACATAGTGACACAAACCACTTTTTCTTCATTTTGGCTTACGTTTCTTTTTCTTTCCCCCCTTTTTTTTTCCTTTTTGTTAGAGAGAGGGTCTCATTCTATTGCCCAGGCTGAGTAGCTAAGACTACAAGCATGTGCCACCACACCCAGCTAATTTTTTTAATTTTAATTTTTTTTTTGTAGGGAAAGGGTCTCACTGTGTTGCCCAGTCTGGTCTCAAACTCCTGGGCACAAGCAGTCCTCATGCTTCGGCATCCCAAAGTGTTGGAATTATAGGAGTGAGCCATCATGCCTGACCTTATATTTCTTAAGACTTGATTATTTTCTGTTTAGCTTCTGTGGATTTACTGATTAGTTTTTTAACTAGGAGAGAAATCAGTATGAAGAGGAAGTAATAAAGAATGAAAGCATGGTATTGAAATGTGCAGGTTTAGAAAGTTAATCAAGTTTGAATTTGATTGGCCTGTATTTAGAGAAGGCAACGACTTAGTTTAAAACCAACTACTGGCCCAGCGCGGTGGCTCACGCCTGTAATTCCAGCACTTTGGGAGGCTGAGGCAGGCAGATCACCTGAGGTCAGGTGTTCGAGACCAGCCTGGTCAACATGGTAAAACCCTGTCTCTACTAAAAATACAAAAAAATTAGCTGGGTATGGTGGCAGGTGCCTGTTATCCCAGCTACTCAGGAGGATTGAGGCAGGAGAATTGCTTGAACCCAAGAGGTGGAGGTTGCATGAGCCAAGAATGCACTGTTGCACTCCAGCCTGGGCAACAAGAGTGAAACTCTGTCTCAAAGAAAAAGGAAAAAAAAAAACCAACTGTCTTCATTTAAAATATTAAATGTGTATATTTAAAGTGAGACTAAGGTGCAACATTTTTAGATAGTAATGAAGAAAAGCAGTAAATTTGTATTGTTGCTGCCTTGTTAAACATACTAGATAGCATATTGCTAATCTTTAAACATCCTCAATAATAGGATATATTTAGTTGTTCTGATTTTTAGCTTTTCTTTTGAAAGAAAATAAGAGGAAGTTTCATTTACTGCACAATTTTAAATGCTGCTTTGACGTATCAGAAGAAATATAATTTCCTTTATCCAGAATCCAAGTAGCTGGAAAAAAAAAAATCAAAATGTACTGCACATCTTTTTTTAAACCAGAAACCCATTTCCTATCATCTGTACAAGTAAAAGTTAAATATATCTCAATAACTTTGAAAAATTATTTTTTCATAATCCAGGAAGTATTAACAACTGTTTTAAAATTAAGATAACTAGTAGTTTTTATTTTGCTTTCAAAAATAGGCACCTACATCATCATCTCTGCATACCTTTAGGAATTTACTTATTCTTATTTCCCTTCATCTGTACTTTAACATATGCAAAATTGAAGGTTAATTACTTATGATTTACTTGTTTATCCTTGACTACACAAATTTCCATTTTATTGATTTTCCCTGCCTTATTTAAGAATATGCTGTGATTAAAACAGACAAAAAGTTTTAGTATAATCCATATATATATATGGAATTCACCTTTTTGTTATTTAAATATTATTAGCTTGTTTTCTTCTAGTTCTAAGTAAAATACAGTTACTGGCTGAAATAATTGAAATAAGCAAAAAAAATTTAAAGACTTGTAAACAAAGTTACTTTGTCAGGTACTGCTAAAAGATGCAATAAAATTTAAGACATAATATCCTTAAAGATCTTATTTTCTAGGGGAAAAAAAACTTTTAAGATAAATTAGAATAAAAGATTTAAATGGCATTTTAAGGTACCAATAAGATGACACAAGGCTGTACATCATTAATTGCCAAATTATTTATGCAGGCCAGATTTCTGTGTTGGTCAATAGAGGTTTAAAGTGATGAACTTCTGTTGTGGTTTTTTATTAAGAAAGTATTATCTTATTAGAAGTGATTTTTTTAAGACCAAGCATTTTATAACATCAAAAGAAATCAGTAGTACTCTTCCCTATCCCCTCATATTTATTCTGAAAGTATTCAAGCATTATATTGTCATGTAAGAAAGTAGAGCTTCTCATGTTTGTATTGCTGTAGAAGTAAACATGTATTTGTGGTGTGTCATCAGGGAAGTTGCACTCTCCTTCTAAGAACTTTTGTTAAAGTAAATCTTGGAATAGGTAGCTCATTTGAAAAGTAGAAGAAATTAAGTCCATGTCTGAATTTTGTTTTTATATGTATGTACACATAAACTAAAAACATATTTAAAGCTAGTATTAGACTAGAAAAGAGGTTTTTTTACTTAAAAATTTAAGACAAAAGTAATTTATCTTAGATCTTGTGAGATTGTATTTTTGGTTTAAAATTTGAGTGCCGAAAAATCATGTGAATGAAAATGCAACAGATAACTCAGATTGCCTTATAATAGTCTTTGTGTTTACCTTTATTCAAAATATCAAATGATAGTTTATTTTGTTGACATTTTGGCAAATGTTTAACACAGGTGACATATTTTCTTTTTTAAAAAAATAAAACATCATTAATTAAAATATGTCATTTCATTTCTTTTTCTTTCTTTTTTTTTTTTTTTAGGACAAAATGTTTCACTTTTGGGTAAATACATTCTTCATACCAGGACCAGAGGAAACCTCAGAAAAAGTAGAAAATGGAAGTCTATGTGATCAAGAAATTGATAGCATTTGCAGTATAGAGCGTGCAGATAATGACAAGGAATATCTAGTACTTACTTTAACAAAAAATGATCTTGACAAAGCAAATAAAGATAAAGCCAACCGATACTTTTCTCCAAATTTTAAGGTCAGTTAAATTAAACATTTTGTGGGGGTTGGTGACTTGTATGTGTGTGATGTGTGTTTAATTCTAGGAGTACAGCTGATGAAGAACTTGCTTGACAAGTTTTTAAATTATGTATTATTTAGAAGCTGTGTTTACATAGCAGTAACATGAAAGTTTCTAATAAAATACCCAATGTACACAGAGTCAAAAAAGCTGCAATTTTCCTTTTCCCAATTCTTTGTTGTTGTTTGGTAAAATCTGGTGCAAAGGTGTGGGAGGGGGCTAAATGACTGGGATTATTAAGTAGGAATGGGAGAGGAAAGAAATGGATGGGAACTCAGTCATTTGGGAATGATTGATATGGAATGTTTTTACTGCTTCCACTCCTGTCTCCCTTCCAATTTATTCTCAGCCCCTCAGAGTGATCTTAAAAATAGACTTGATTGTGTCACTTCTGTTTACACTTTATAAAGACCTTGTGTGTTTTTTTTTTACCATGACCTACAAGGACCATCATAATTTAGCACAGGCCTACCTCCTACATCAGCACTAATCACCTTCTCTCTTTGCTTCTTGAGATTCAGTCATACTGGTCTCTCTTCAGTTCTTCAAAATGCTAAGCTTCTGCCTCTAGTCGTTCCAGTTCTTTTCCTTCTCCCGGTACCTTTTCATCTCAGCCTTTTCCCCCGACCTTCTCATAGCTATCTTCATATTTCCAGCCTTAGCTTCAATCTCATATTCTCTGAAGGTCTCTGATTGTCCTCCTGTTATTCTTTTTTTTAAAAATCCTATTTCCTTATATTGTGTCTTACAATTATTTGGTTTGTTTCATTTTTGTGTATATATGATATATGTATTTATACATAGGTATATATATCTACTTATAGACAATAATTGTTCAGATTTTAAAAATCTGATTTGTAAACATTCCCAAATGGTTTGCCATTTTTTTCTTCCCCTTTCCTATTTCTTGTTCTACCTGATTTTCCCCTGTTCATTCACCACACTCTTTTCTTTCTCTTTTTTACTCTCTCTTAATTTGTCATTCAATTTTTGTAACATGTAACAAATCTAACTGTAGCTTCTGAGTTTTTAAGAATATTGCTAGTAATACTTCACCTGTAATCCCAGCACTTTGGGAGGCTAAGGCAGGCAGAGCACTTGAGGCTAGGAGTTTAAGACCAGCCAGGCCAATATGGCGAAACCCTGTCTGCACTAAAAATACAAAAATTAGCTGGGCGTGGTGTCACACACCTGTAATCCCAGCACTTGGGAGGTTGAGGCACAAGAATTGCTTGAGCCTGGGAGGTGGAGGTTGCAGTGAGCCGAGATCACACCAGTGCACGTGCACTTCAGCGACACAGCAAGACTCTCTCTTAATAAAAAAGAAAAGAAAGAAAGAAAGATATATATATGTTTGTATATTGGTAGTAATAGTAATACTTAAAAAAAAGTAAAGGGGCACCTACATGTTTTAAGTGAAAATAGATCTAACGTTAAATGCCTTTAGCTCTTAAATTTTAAGTGTTTAGAAATTTCCCTTTTTAAAAAATTTTAATACATAATAATTGTACATATTTATAGGATACAGAGTGATATTTTCATGTATGCAGTGTGTGATGATCAAATCAGGATAAGAGCATATGAATCACCTTAAACATTTGTCATTTGTTTGTGTTGGGAACATTTAAACTTCTATCTTCTAGCTATTTGAAAATATACGGTAAATTATTGTTGACTAGTTAACAGTTCTATAGAATGCTATAATTTATTCCTCCTGTCTGTAATTTTTTGTCTTTTAACCAACATCTGCCTATCCTCCCCTACCCCTCCCTTTCCCAGCCTCTAATAACCACACTCCTATGAGCTCAACTTTTTTAGCTCCCATATATGAGTGAAAACATACAGTGTTTATCTTTCTGTACCTGACTTACTTTACTTGACATCATGTCCTCCGGGCTAGACATTCTCTTTAGAATCCACAGGTTTCCTTTCTTTTCTCTAAATCTGCATTTTGCTCAACCATTAACTTTTAAAATGTCTTTTTCCCTTTAGTTTTATTGTTTTCTGTTTCAATATTGCAAGACGTTTTATATTTGTGACTACAAATAAAAACTCTCCGTTATTAGTAAACAAATACAATGTCATATAGTGGTAAGTGCTATAAAAAATAGAGACAGGATAGAGAGTAATCTTGGTTTGTGTGTTTTTTGTTTTTTAGCTAGGATGATTAGAGAAGGTCCAACCAAGCAAATAACATTTAAGCAGAGGCCTAAATCATGAGTGAGTTATACAGATATCTGGGAAAAGAGGGAAGAGTAGAGATGCAGAAGCCCTTAGACAAGAGTGAGCTTGGTATATTTGAAGAGTGGATACGTCATTTTGACTAAAACAGAGTGGACGAGAAAACCAGTCCAAATGTAAAGATACTAGTATGTGTTCAGCATAGGAAGGATGTAATCTGAATTTTGTGTTTAATATTCCCTGTGTTAATGCTTTCAAAACATAGACGAGTGAGGCAAGTAGGGAGAAGGGGTAATAATGGAAGCTGGGAGATTGGTTAAGAGGCACTTGACCATCCTGGCTTACACGGTGAAACCCCATCTCTACTAAAAATACAAAAAATTAGCCAGGCATGGTGGCGGGCACCTGTAGTCCCAGCTACTAGGGAGGCTGAGGCAGGAGAATGGCGTGAACCTGGGAGGCGGAGCTTGCAGTGAGCCGAGATCGCACCACTGCACTCCAGCCTGGGCGACAGAGCGAGAGTCCGTCTAAAAAAAAAAAAAAAAAGCATTTGAATAGTTTAGTAAAGGTGAGAGATGATGTTTGCTTCTTGTTGCCCCTCACTGCGTAGAATAGTGGCAGTGAAGGGTAACAAGAAGCTGTCAGATGAACTTAAAGAGTTTACTGATGCAGTGGATGTTGGTTGTAAGAGAAGAATTGATAATGACTCTTAGATAATAGGGGAGGGGCTGTCAATATAATATAATGAAGAAGGGATTTGAAGTCAGATCTGATTTAAATCTCACATCCACTACCTACTGTTAATAGTTATGTAGCCTTTAACAAGTTCCCTAACCTTTCTGGGCGGTAGCTACCTCCCCTTGGAAATGGAAATACCTAACATGTAGGGTTGTTTTGACAGTTATTTTCACTAGGCATGTAAAGGCCCTTGGCTCTCTGTTTAGACCACTGTATTATGTTAATATCTCTCTCCTTCCTCCCTTTAGGTAAAGTTTTTAGGGCTAATAAATCCCAGTATCAATGTTGATCAGTAGTTTGTGTCTGTGTAGTGTTGTTTATATCAAAAACTACATTGAAGCCGGGCACAGTGGCTAACGCCTAAAATCCCAACCTTTGGGAGGCCAAGGTGGGCAGATCACCTGAACTAAGGAGTTTGAGACCAGCCTGGGCAACATGGTGAAATCCTGTCTCTACAAAAAATATAAAAGCTAGCTAGGTGTGGTGGCATGCATCTGTAGTCCCAGCTACTTGGGAGGCTGAGGTGGGAGGATCACTTGATCCTGGGAGTTTGAGCCTGCAGTGATCTGTGAAGATGCCACTGCACCCTAGTCTGGGTGACAGAGCAAGACCCTGTCTCAAAAAAAAAAAAAAAAAAAAAAAAAACAGAAAGAAATACATTGATTTTTCTCATAGGTAGTAAGAGAAACATTCTTTTTGAACTCAGTCATTTGTGAATTGAATTTTATAATGCAAAGGCTATATTATGTAAACTATTGATGACTTTCAATCTGCATTTGTTTTATAGAATTGTTTAGTTAATGTTTGCAGCTTATATTAAAAAATAAAATTGAGGTTGGGCGTGGTGGCTCACACCTGTAATCCCAGCACTTTGGGAGGCTGAGGTAGGTAGAGTGCTTGAGCTCAGGAGTTTGAGATCAGCCTGGACAACATGATGAAACCCCATTTCTACTACAATACAAAAAATTAGCTGGGTGTGGTGGTGTGCACCTGTAGCCCAGCTGTTCAGGATGCTAAGGCATGAGAATTGCTTGAACCTGGGAGGCAGAGGTTTCAGTGAGCTGAGATCATGCCACCGCACTCCAGCCTGGCAACAGAGCAAGACTGTCTCCAGAAATAAAAATAAATAAATTGTATTAACGTCCTGATAGTTTATCTGTTCAGTACCTAGCAAGAAAGAAAATGTTGAACATCTTAATAAGAAGAGGGTCATTTAAAAGACCTCTTCAAGATCATGTTTGTTATAGTGCTGTAATCTGCAAAATGGAATAAAAAAATTAATCTGTTAAAATATATTTCACTAAATAGTTTAAGATGAGTCATATTTGTGGGTTTTCATTTTAAATTTTCTTTCTCTAGGTGAAGCTGTACTTCACAAAAACAGTAGAGGAGCCGTCAAATCCAGAGGCTAGCAGTTCAACTTCTGTAACACCAGATGTTAGTGACAATGAACCTGATCATTATAGATATTCTGACACCACTGACTCTGATCCAGAGAATGAACCTTTTGATGAAGATCAGCATACACAAATTACAAAAGTCTGAATTTTTTTTTATCAAGAGGGATAAAATACCATGAAAACAAACTTGAATAAACTGAAAATGGACCTTTTTTTTTTTAATGGCAATAGGACATTGTGTCAGATTACCAGTTATAGGAACAATTCTTTTCCTGACCAATCTTGTTTTACCCTATACATCCACAGGGTTTTGACACTTGTTGTCCAGTTGAAAAAAGGTTGTGTAGCTGTGTCATGTATATACCTTTTTGTGTCAAAAGGACATTTAAAATTCAATTAGGATTAATAAAGATGGCACTTTCCAATTTTATTCCAGTTTTATAAAAAGTGGAGACAGACTGATGTGTATACGTAGGAATTTTTTCCTTTTGTGTTCTGTCACCAACTGAAGTGGCTAAATACTGGTTCACATCCTACCCCTTTGCACTTGTGGCAACAGATAAGTTTGCAGTTGGCTAAGAGAAGTTTCCGAAGGGTTTTGCTACATTCTAATGCATGTATTCGGGTTAGGGGAATGGAGGGAATGCTCAGAAAGGAAATACATTTTATGCTGGACTCTGGACCATATACCATCTCCAGCTATTTACACACACCTTTCTTTAGCATGCTACAGTTATTAATCTGGACATTCGAGGAATTGGCCGCTGTCACTGCTTGTTGTTTGCGCATTTTTTTTTAAAGCATATTGGTGCTAGAAAAGGCAGCTAAAGGAAGTGAATCTGTATTGGGGTACAGGAATGAACCTTCTGCAACATCTTAAGATCCACAAATGAAGGGATATAAAAATAATGTCATAGATAAGAAACACAGCAACAATGACTTAACCATATAAATGTGGAGGCTATCAACAAAGAATGGGCTTGAAACATTATAAAAATTGACAATGATTTATTAAATATGTTTTCTCAATTGTAACGACTTCTCCATCTCCTGTGTAATCAAGGCCAGTGCTAAAAGTCAGATGCTATTAGTACCTACATCAGTCAACAACTTAAACACTTATTTTATTAGTTTTCAATCATATACCTGCTGTGGATGCTTCATGTGCTGCCTGCAAGCTTCTTTTTTCTCATTAAATATAAAATATTTTGTAATGCTGCACAGAAATTTTCAATTTGAGATTCTACAGTAAGCGTTTTTTTTCTTTGAAGATTTATGATGCACTTATTCAATAGCTGTCAGCTGTTCCACCATTTTGACCTTACACATTCTATTACAATGAGTTTTGCAGTTTTGCACATTTTTTAAATATCATTAACTGTTAGGGAATTTTACTTGAATACTGAATACATATAATGTTTATATAAAAAAGGACATTTGTGTTAAAAAGGAAATTAGAGTTGCAGTAAACTTTCAACGCTGCACACAAAAAAAAAGGACATTTGATTTTTCAGTAGAAATTGTCCTACATGTGCTTTATTGATTTGCTATTGAAAGAATAGGGGTTTTTTTTTGTTTTTTTTGTTTTTTTTTTAAATGTGCAGTGTTGAATCATTTCTTCATAGTGCTACCCCGAGTTGGGACTAGGGCTTCAATTTCACTTCTTAAAAAAATTTCATCATATATTTGATATGCCCAGACTGCATACGATTTTAAGCGGAGTACAACTACTATTGTAAAGCTAATGTGAAGATACTATCAAAAAAGGATTTTTTTTCCCAGAAATTTGGTGTCTTCAAATTATACCTTCACCTTGACGTTTGAATATCCAGCCATTATATTTCTTAATGGTATAAAATTCCATTTTCAATAACTTATTGGTGCTGAAATTGTTCACTAGCTGTGGTCTGACCTAGTTAATTTACAAATACAGATTGAATAGGACCTACTAGAGCAGCATTCATAGAGTTTGATGGCAAATAGATTAGGCAGAACTTCATCTAAAATATTCTTAGTAAATAATGTTGACATGTTTTCCATACCTTGTCAGTTTCATTCAACAATTTTTAAATTTTTAACAAAGCTCTTAAGATTTACACATTTATATTTAAACATCGATGAGTATTGATTGATTACTCCTAAGTTAAATTGGTAAAGTTAGAGACAACTATTCCTAACATCTCACCATTGAAATTTATATGCCACCTTGTCTTTCATAAAAGCTGAAAATTGTTAGCTAAAATGAAAACCAACTTCATGTTTTGAAGATAGTTATGAATATTATTCTTTGTTACAATTTTGGGCACCGCATATTAAAACATTTATTGTTCCAGTATGTAACATGTAGGGCCAGGTCATAAATAATGACATTATAATGGGCTTTTGCACTGTTATTATTTTTCCTTTGGAATGTGAAGGTCTGAATGAGGGTTTTGATTTTGAATGTTTCAATGTTTTTGAGAAGCCTTGCTTACATTTTATGGTGTAGTCATTGGAAATGGAAAAATGGCATTATATATATTATATATATAAATATATATTATACATACTCTCCTTACTTTATTTCAGTTACCATCCCCATAGAATTTGACAAGAATTGCTATGACTGAAAGGTTTTCGAGTCCTAATTAAACCTTTATTTATGGCAGTATTCATAATTAGCCTGAAATGCATTCTGTAGGTAATCTCTGAGTTTCTGGAATGTTTTCTTAGACTTTTTGGATGTGCAGCAGCTTACATGTCTGAAGTTACTTGAAGGCATCACTTTTAAGAAAGCTTACAATTGGGCCCTGTACCATCCCAAGTCCTTTGTAGCTCCTCTTGAACATGTTTGCCATACTTTTAAAAGGGTAGTTGAATAAATAGCGTCACCATTCTTTGCTGTGGCACAGGTTATAAACTTAAGTGGAGTTTACCGGCAGCATCAAATGTTTCAGCTTTAAAAAATAAAAGTAGGGTACAAGTTTAATGTTTAGTTATAGAAATTTTGTGCAATATGTTCATAACGATGGCTGTGGTTGCCACAAAGTGCCTCGTTTACCTTTAAATACTGTTAATGTGTCATGCATGCAGATGGAAGGGGTGGAACTGTGCACTAAAGTGGGGGCTTTAACTGTAGTGTTTGGCAGAGTTGCCTTCTACCTGCCAGTTCAAAAGTTCAACCTGTTTTCCTATAGAATATATATACTAAAAAATTTCAGTCTGTTAAACAGCCTTACTCAATTCAGCCTCTTCAGATACTCTTGTGCTGTGCAGCAGTGGCTCTGTGTGTAAATGCTATGCACTGAGGATACACAAAAATACCAATATGATGTGTACAGGATAATGCCTCATCCCAATCAGATGTCCATTTGTTATTGTGTTTGTTAACAACCCTTTATCTCTTAGTGTTATAAACTCCACTTAAAACTGATTAAAGTCTCATTCTTGTCATTGTGTGGGTGTTTTATTAAATGAGAGTTTATAATTCAAATTGCTTAAATCCATTGAAGTTTTAATTAATGGGCAGCCAAATGTGAATAAAAAGCTTTCAGTTGTTTTTTTTTCCTGCTGTCCTTCAAAGCCTACTGTTAAAAAAAAAAAAAAAAATGACCTGGGAGTAGAGTATCTGTCTACTCATGTTTAATTAAGAAAAACACTTATTTTTAGGGCTTTAGTCATCATTTCATAAATTGTGTAAACACATTAAATAGCATTCTAGTCCTGAAAAAGTTCAAGATTCTTGGGAAATTGTGCATATTTTTATTAGGCCAGATGTTTGAAGATAATTCCCCAGAATGGATTTGATACTTTAGATTTCAATTTTGTGGCTTTTCTCTATTATTCTGTACTCTGCCATCAGCATATGGAAAGCTTCATCTACTCATCATGACTTGTGCCATATAAAAATTGATATTTTGGAATATTCTAAAGGACTTTTTGTACTTGAATTTAATCATGTTGTTTCTAATATTCTTAAAAGCTTGAAGACTAAAGCATATCCTTTCAACAAAGCATAGTAAGGTAATAAGAAAGTGTAGTTTGTACAAGTGTTTAAAAAATAAAGTAGACAATGTTACAGTGGGACTTATTTCAAGTTTACATTTTCTCCATGTAATTTTTTTAAAAAGTAAATGAAAAATGTGCAATAATGTAAAATATGAAGTGTATGTGTACACACATTTTATTTTTAGGTATCTTAGGTATACGTATGGCTGAAAACTATACTGGAGTCTAAAAGTATTCTAATTTATAAGAAGATATTTTGGTGATGTTTGAAAAATAGAAATGTGCTAGTTTTGTTTTTATATCATGTCCTTAGTATGTTGTAATATGAGCTGGCTTGGTTCAGTAAATGCCATCACCATTTCCATTGAGAATTTAAAACTCACCAGTGTTTAATATGCAGGCTTCCAAAGGCTTATGAAAAAAATCAAGACCCTTAAATCTAGTTAATTTGCTGCTAACATAAAACTCTTTTGTTTCTTTTATTTTTGCCAGATAATTAGACACACATCTAAAGCTTAGTTTTAAATGGCTTAAGTGTAGCTATTGATTAGTGCTGTTGCTAGTGCAGAAAGAAATGTTTGTGAATGGAAACAGGAATATTTAGCCCAAACTGTTGTAAGGACAGTACCTGAAAACCAGGAAACAGGAAAATGGAAAAAATCTTTTAAAGATGAAATGTTGGAACCAACTTTCTTATAGAATTAATTATATGTGGCTATAGAAAGCCTAATGATTGTTGCTTATTTTTGAGAGCAAATTATTCTTTTATGACCATAATCTTGCTATTTTTCCATCTTCCAAAAGATCTTCCTTCTAATATGTGTATCAGAACATGGGTAGCCAGTCAGAGAAATTCATATTGGTTGGTAGCTTTAAAAAGTTTGTAATGTGAAGACAGGAAAGGACAAAATAGTTTGCTTTGGTGGTAGTACTCTGGTTCTTAAGCTAGATATTTTGAGACTACTTCCCCATCAAAACAACCATAAGTAGTCACTCGTAATCCTACCACCTGGAGACATAGCCATTATTAATATGTTAGTGACTATACAATCATGTTTTTTTCTGTATATTCATGTATGTTTTTTAAAAATGAAATTTATACCGTACCTGATCTCAAAGCCTTTTAGCTTAGTATATCTGTCATGAATTTGTAGGATGTTCCATTGCATCAGAAAACGGACAGTGATTTGATTACTTTCTAATGCCACAGATGCAGATTACATGTAGTTATTGAGAATCTTTTCGAATTCAGTGGGTTAATCATGAATGTCTAAATATTGTTGACATTTGGATGATACATGTAAGTTAAAGTTACATTTGTTTAGCATAGACAAGCTTAACATTGTAGATGTTTCTCTTCAAAAATCATCTTAAACATTTGCATTTGGAATTATGTGTTAAATAGAATGTGTGAAACACTGTATTAGTAAACCATCACCTTTCTACTTCCTTATAGTTTGAACTTTTCAGTTTTTATAGTTCCCAAACAGTTGCTCAATTTACAGCAAATTAACATCTGCCAAAAAAAAGGCTACTGTTGGCTTATCAATTATCTTTAAATGCTCATGTGACTTTTATCACATCAAAAAATGTTTCATTAATGGTTCACCTTTAGCTCTGAAAAGTGCCGTGTTTAGTAATTATAGTGGGCTTATAAAAACATGCAACTCTTTTTGACAGTTATTTGAGAATTTTAGTGAAAAATATTTACTTGAGGGCAGTATATAACTTATAAACCAATATATTGATATTTTTAAAACATTTTTACATATAAGTAAACTGCCATCTTTGAGCATAACTACATTTAAAAATAAAACTGCATATTTTTAAATCAAGTGTTTAACAAGAATTTATATTTTTTATTTTTTTAAATTAAAAGTAATTTATATTTCCTCTGTTGCATGTGGATTATCATCTGTCCTTATAATGGTTAGAGATTTTATTTGTGTGGAATGGAGCAAGGCTTGTAGTCATGGTTCTACTGTTTCAGTTTGCCAAGTCTGTTTACTGCAGTGAAATTCATCAAATGTTTAAGTGTGGTTTTCTGTAGCCTATCATTTATTGGCTATTTTTTTATGTACAGCTTTAGGATTTTCTGCCTACTCTATCCAGTTGTCCAAATGATATCCTACATTTTACAAATTCCCTTTCAGTTTCTATTTTCTTTTTCCATTAAATTGCCCTCATGTCCTAATGTGCAGTTTGTAAGAGTGTGTGTGTGTGTGTGTGTGTGAGAGAGAGAGAATTTGATTTTCAAGAGTGCTAGATTTCCAATTTGAGAGATTAAATAATTTAATTCAGGCAAACATTTTTCATTGGAATTTCACAGTTCATTGTAATGAAAATGTTAATCCTGGATGACCTTTGACATACAGTAATGAATCTTGGGTATTAATGATTTGTTAGTAGCATCTTGATGTGTGCTTTAATGAGTTATTTTCAAAGTTGTGCATTAAACCAAAGTTGGCATACTGAAAGTGTTTATATCAAGTTCCATTTGGTTACTGATGGACAAAAAATAGAAATGCCTTCCTATGGAGAGTATTTTTCCTTTAAAAAATTAAAAAGGTTAATTATTTTGACTATTCGGTTTTAAACTTTTTATTCATCCAACAAATATCAAGTCCCTGCTGTACATATGGGTTTGGAATACGTTAGTGATCAAAATAGACACACTCTATCCCTGCCCTTGAAGAGTTTACACCCCAGTAGAGGAAACAGAATTTACATTAATAATTATAAATTGTGATACATGCTGTGGAAAGTGAGGTGCATGTAAAAATGGTTATCAAACATTCTGCTCCCCAAAATTTCCATCCCCTTGCAGTTGAATGAGGCCTGTGTAACTAGTTTATTCTAATGTAATGCAGAAAGTAGTGTGACACTCCACTTTCTGTAAAGGCAATGAAAAAAATTTACCGTTCAGTTTCTCTCTTCCCCTACTGCTGTGATTAAGGATTTTGCATGTTCTAGATGGTACAGCTCTGTCAGCCCGGGTTTTGAGTGATACTGGAGCAGAACTCCCTCAAATTCTCCCTCTGCCACACTAAACTTGTTAGATATTAGCATGAATAAGAAACCATTTAGACTGATGCTTTGGGACAATTTTTTTTAATCACAGTGTAAGTTATATCCTGACTAAAACAGTGCTTTGCAAAGATCAGGGAAGGGTTTCTTGAGCTACAAGAGGGAGTTAAGAATGAAGCAAAATGAAATATGGCATCTTCAAATGACATGATGCAATAAACTTTAAATTGCAAGTTATTCAGTAGTTACTGAGCACCAGATATGTGTCAGACACTGTTCTAGATGCTTGGGATACAAGTGGCTGAACAGCAGGACCTTGCCTTCATGGAGCTTACATTCTACCAAGGGAAAATAGTCAAATATGTGAGGTAATGTGTGCTACAGTAGAAATGAAAGGTAAGGGAGCTCAGGATTGCTGGGTGCAGAGATTTCAGTGTTGAATGGGGTAGCAGGACTCACTGGGAAGGTAAGATGTGAAGGCTGCTGAAACAGTGGCATTAGGATTTTCCTTCATTCTTTCAACCAGCGAGATGCACTCAGAACCCTCTATACAATTTTATTCTCACTTTATACAACTCTGTACATTAGTTCTGAGTTTTCAAGATTATTATTGGCATATCTAGGGAGAATTTTTAGGAATACCACCCAAAATAGTCGCAATGTTCTAAAACCATTTTGTTTTCTAAATTGGTTTGGCAAACTATACAGTCTGTTCCTTTTCGTTCTCTAAGTTGAGTTTTTAAATTTAAATTTTTCTTATATACTCTGTGCATTTTGACAATACTTAACACTTTTCAGAAGACATTAAAGTTCTGTTATGGCCTTAAGCATTTCTGTAAAGCTGAAAGGAAATATCATTTATGATTTATTGATGGGAAACAGTTACAAATTTTGAGTTACTTGAAAAACAAAAGGGATGAGATTTATGGCCTAGTGTTGTGTTTTCTTTCTTCACCCATAAGCAAAAATCTCTGGAAAAGCACCAGTATCTAGTAAAATATTTTTCCCCAAAAAATATTTTCTATTTTCCTCTCATCTCACCTCAGAGTTTAAGAAGCTTAACATTGTGATCAAAGGAAAATAGTATAATTGAATATTTTATACTGTAGAAATTTGCAACTATATAAAGGCATTATTAACGTTTTGCTAGTGATCAGTTTCCTATTAGGGCAGCCACATAAAATTAGGCATGAAACTTTAAAAGAAAATGTTGACTCTTAACTTTTCCTGCTTTAATGCTTAATTTTAAAATAGATTTAAGCAACTTTAAAAGCATTTTCCTGAGCAACTGCATTTTGTTTTCATTCTGAATTTAATGAGACTCTTTTTTTCTTTTACATTTTACTTTGCTTTAGAAAGGATTTAAGGTAGCTGAATGGGTTTCCCAGTGTGAGAAAAATTGTCATGTAAATTTAGAAAAAAGTATTGTATATATCCCTTGATTTTGGCTTAAGAGTTAGAATTTACGTAGAATGTTTCCTGACCCAACTTCATTGGAATTTGAAAGTACATTCCAATAGTATTGTGAGCTGCTCCTTTAAACATTGATAAGTAGGCTTCAAACTTAATTTTCAAGGAAATAAGCCATACTTTTACTGTAGGGTTTATTAATCTGAAATACCTGAGAGTGCAAATAGTTACGTGTTCCTATTTAATAATATAAACAGTTAAATGTGACCTGTAAATATTGTGAAATTTAGCAAAAATATAACCTGTAAAATTAATCTCTAGTAAGCTAATACTCTCTCAGTAATAAAACTTAGCTAAAATAGCCCAATTAACTGACATTAGAACACATTGTGATATGTGGGAGAACTATTAGTGAATTATAGTCATGTTTATACTTCTCTTTTCAATTATAATCATGTTTTTGAAATGAGATCTCATTTTCCAGTCCTTATTACCTATAAGGAAGAGAAATGTATGTAAATTTCACAAATTCATACGAAAATTAACAAACTTCTTAAGTGTTATTCAGTATTTCTACAAAGATATCATTAACAGGAAAGCCCAACATTTTACATGGTTATCTTTAACAAGGGAAGTACAGTGGTTGTTTAATTAATTAGCTAATACTTCATTTACTGTGTATAGTCATAATTCATATGAATAATACATGGATCTTTTAGGATTATTAGTACTGTATATTAAATGCTTGAAAGGGAAAATACCTTTTAGTGTTTGGTAAAAGAGTAAGCATAAGGTAAATTTTCCCTTCTGTTAGACTCAGCAGAACTATTTAATGTGTTTAACTGTCCTTGGAGAAGACTGAGCCATTGTTTCTGTAAAAATCCAATAGGGTTAAAACAAAAATATCACTTTGAACATGATTTACTTGGCTAGGAGGCACTTGAAAGCTTTAAGCAACTCAAATCTTTCTCTAGAAAATTAGCCACAATTCTACCTCAGAAAACTTGAAGACATTTACAATTCATAGGAATTCTGTGGTAAGTCAGCTCACCTACCTAAAGACCAAAATGAAGGAGCACAGCAAGAAAGGAAGCTGAAGTAAGGAGAGAACAGAAAGCGGAAGGAAAAGCATGAAAAGAGCCCAAATTAACTCTGTGACTACTGGGGGCTGCTACAGGGAATGAGAAGAGAATAGCATTGTTCTCAGCCCACAGTATGTGCCATGCTGCAGTAGTCAGTTCACAGGCTTGACACATTCTTCAGTGTAGGTGATTTTATCTCATTTTATGCACAAAGACTGAAAGGGAACTTAAATCATCCAGGTGTCTCTCACAACTAGTAAATAGAGAACTGGATTTGGACCCACAGCAGTCTTATTTCTATCATACTATACATACTACTACTTAAACAGAATCAAGTTTACAAAGCAAACAAAAAAGTCTGGCCAGGTTTGGTGTCTCACACCTGTAATCACAGCACTTTGGGAGGCTGAGACAGGAGGATTGCTTGAGCCCAGGAGTTCGAGACTAGCCTGAGCAACATAGAAAGACCCTGTCTCTACAAAAAAATTAAAAAATTATCCAGGCATGGTAGTGCATGGATATAGTCCCAGCTGCTTGGGAGACCAAGCTGGGAGGATTGTTTGAGCTTGGGAGGTTGAGGCTACAGTGAGCCATGATCTGTGCCATTGCACTCCAGCCTGGGCGACAGGGTGAGACCTCGTCTCTTAAAAACAAGTCTAAAACAACTCACAGGTAATGGAGTCATGACAAATTTTTTTTTGTTTACTGACACAAGAAAAACAAGCTAATGAGTTGATGGGTGCTGACGAGTTGATGGGTGCAGCACACCAACATGGCACAAGTACACATATGTAACAAACCTGCACGTTATGCACATGTACCCTAGAACTTAAAGTATAATAATAAAAAAAAAGCAAGCTAACACAAGGCATAAATCCTGCAAAATGAACACCAAAGAAGATAAATATTTAACAATTGTTCAAGCTACAAATGAGAAAATTATGTATCTTGCAACATTCTTGACAGGTAAGATGGTAAGATGTTGGTATATATTTTTATATCAAAACCTAGAATTAGAGTTCTTTGATTTGCTAGTTTGGTATAAAATCCATTAAATAAACTTGTGCTTTATTTTTGCTTGAACTAGAATGCCCAGACTGTTTAAAATGATTCGTTCTCAGTTAAATAGGCCAACCGGCCACCTAACAAGTATTTGTTGCATGCCTGCTGTGTCAAGTTTGAATATAATAGTGGAGAAGTGAGAAAAGGCCATCGATTTTACATTTTAGAGTGGGGAAACACATTTTATTCAGAGAGAGGAGCAAGTAAAATGGCTTAATGTAGGAACAAACGTGGTCACTTAGGAAAGCATAAGAAGAAAAAGGCTAGAGGAGAGTAAGTGGTGGGAGACTGATGTAAGATAAATTTTGGAGAAGTAGGCAGGAGAACTTCTGGTTTCAGCCAAGGTGGAATGAAACCGCTAAAGTCTGTCTCCCACTGATGACAACCATCAATAAACTTTTTCTACCCTGTTTTATTCAAGCTCATTGGTTTATCTTATTCTTTGAAGAGATCTTTTATCCCTGCCTGATTTTGTGACATCATCGATGAGTCATTTGGAAAATACAGGTTCACTGAGTTTTGTAGATTTTCCAATGTTGACACATATCATTATGCAATGCAGAAAAAAAATCACATTTAAAAAAATATCACAACACATTTTTAGAGCTGACCAGAATAGTCTTTAAATATTTGGAAGAAGGCAGATTATGAAAGAGAGTCACAACTTGGAAAAGCAACCTATATTAGGGATGTTTCTTTTCCTGTTGTCTTAACAGCTTCGCCCCAAGGGTGGGCCCCACTTGTGGAGCTGCACAGCCATGGTGACTTGAGCAGCTCACACTGACAGAAATCAAGCTTTTTGGCCAGAAGAACCAGAAAAAGAGTCTCCTGTGGGCCAGTGGGCATGGAGTATGAGGGTGGGGGGAGGGTTGGGGAAATCCTGAAGAGGAGAGAACTGGAAAAGGGAATCCTCTAATTCTGAGTTTGAACTTTTGCAAGTCCTGGGCTCACTCCTGAGCTTGCATGCACAGGACAGACCAAAGAAGCATAGCAAAGGTTTT